GTGGCCCTGTCTTCTCAATTTCTGTTGTGCAGTGATCCCACCAGAAGTTTTCCGCCAGGAGGGCTTGCTTGAACCCCCAGACTCTTCGGGTGGCTTTCGCTTCGACAGCACCTGCAATGATGTGAAAAGGCGCGGTTGTAACGTTTCAAAGCTGAAAAAAAAAAGGTTACGAAATGATCTAAAATGAGAAGTTCGCATGATCAAATGGTTTCAACATGATTCAAAATGGACATAGCCCAGATTACCCCAGATGACTCGACTCCTTTACAGCAAGCTATACCTGGGGAGTTGGATTCCTGTCGGTGATCCTCTGCAAAGAACTTCATCCCAATCAAATGTCCCAAAGAATCCCAATTTCAAGAAAGGTTTCAAAAGTTCACCAATCCGGATTTTTCAGCAACTGTTCAAAGGTTGGTTCAACCCCAACCGAAGCACAGGCCCCGCGTCTTTTGCGTCTTCAAGGACTTTCAGGCCTTGCCGCTCTACCTGGTCCAGGTGAGCCGGCCAAGTGGGGGTCCACCACTATGACCACTATGGACTTCACTAAATTCACAGTACTATATGTTAGTATAGAACTATAGTATACTATAGTAATTTAAGAGTTTAACTATGTTTGACAGTTCTACTTAAATAAATTTCACAGTTCTACTATGTAAGATACATTGCTATAGTAGTAAATGTGTTACTTAAACCATAGTTAGCTCCTATATTAGTGGCAAATAAGTTATACTGTTAACATATATGTAGTTATAAAGACCATGTAAGATACGATGGGTCAACTAACTATATGGTTAGTTTGCTATATGATTGTGTTATAATCTAGTATAGTTAACTGAATACAACTGATCTATACTGATACGTTCAATCATATTATTTGGGGATATCCGGGACTTGAGAACAAACCAGTGGAAGAAGTTTGAACTTGGCTGAGAAGTATGGCAGTTATGGCAGTTGACCCAACTGATAGCTGCTATTGGTGGGTGGTTTTTAGATAGTTTCCATCCCCACGATGGTCTCCAACCACTAAACTTTGAGTTGAGATCACCACCATTCACCAATCGGTTGGAGATGTTCATGGTTTTTTGCTTAGAAAATGAGAAGAACAGATTGAAAGATGTTGCGTTTTTGTTGGACTCCAAGATTTGGTTTCCAAAGTGTGGGGAAACTGTTTGTGGGGCCGAGCCTATTGTCCCCAGGTGGCAATGTCGTCCTTGCATTTTTCAGGCGGGGGCAATCTACAGTTCCGAAGGTTTCCCATAGTGAATCACCATTTGGATTCCTCAGGTCACAGGTCAGGCCACAGGCCTCAAGTCTCAGGTTTCTCAGGTTTCAGGATGTCAGATGATGTGGGTATGGGTCAATACCTATAGATACATTTTTAGTGGGATGAACATCCATTTACCAGCTATTTTGATGTTCACCAGGGGTACAAGGTTTTGACCCATCCCCATGTCAGATGATGTCAGGATGGACCTTTTCTTCACAGTTCCGAGTTCATCCCCTTGAGGTGCCTGACAGCTGCTATCGTCGAATGACCAAAAAGGCGCGTGACATATGTGTTTTTTATTCCTGGACATACAATCTCAACGCTGGAGTTTGTCTCCAAAGAAAGGTGATGAATGAATGACCTCAGTAATGACCTTGAGGTTTATGTTTTGTATCCTTGCACTATGTTTGCAGCAATGTTAGGGCTTGGTAAATGTCCTAATCTGTCACATCACCGAACGAAAAAAGGGATAGAACCTCCAACAGAAACTTGTTTTGATGTTCCAAAAATCCCCAGTTGAGGATCAAAAAGGGACAGAAAAACCCAACCATGTGTTCTTTTCGACGAAGTATACGTGGGTCTTTGATCTACCTAGCCTCGATTCAAAAAGCCCAGGGATGTTCATGTTCCATCCAAGGTGGTGCCCAAACGTTATAAATTGCTTCATAAACCCCATGAATACTATAGATATATCACATATATATCACCTATATATCACCTATATATCACACATATATCACCTATATATCACCTATATATCACCAACAAAAACAATAGTGAAATTGGAGTTATTTGCACCACCTTTGTGGGGGATTCCCCAGACATGGCTTGCTGTTTTCCCCACGAAACCGAGACAAACTCGCGACTCGGCTGGGCTCAAGGGATGCCGCGAGGTGGCTCAGCGCCAAAAGTGTGCCGCTGCCGCTGCGTTTGGCAAACAGTCGGATGTTGGCTCCAGAAAGATCCTGTTGACGTTGATTTTGATTTTTTTTGTTTAGAAGATGGCTTTATAATATATACATATATATTATATATATATACATATATATTATATATATATACATATATATACATATATATATACATATATATTATACGTGAAAACCCAACAGCAGATGATTTGGGGATGTTTGCGGCACGCGGTATGCCCAACTTGAGATCTCAAATAGGTCTAAGCTCTGCGTTGCACACTCAGCAGACTTCAGGATAGGCTTCCCTGGATGGGCGAAATCAGTCTTCCTAGGTCGATGGATCTGATACATCTTCCAACAAACTGTCTCTGTCATCTCACTGGCCTCCGAGAGTATGAAAGAGCAGGGCCAGATTTGGGTATGGGTCAATACCTATAGATACCATTTTTAGTGGGATGAACATCCATTTACCAGCTATTTTGATGTTCACCAGGGGTACACGGTTTTGACACACTGCCATTTGATGCTGTGACCATCATGAATGTGTTCATCCCTGTAATTCTTCGAAGCTTTCTGGAGCCTCGAATGCATTTGTCCGATGCGGGTGCTGTCGCAATAGGGGAGATGACCCTAGACAGTTGCTTCGCTGAGTGCATTTTTGCCGGCGGAGGAAGAGGCAGAGCAAGGCAAAAGTCAAAGTGTGAAGAAAATGAAGAGATGTCACCGTCACTTAGATGTAGTAAGAGCAGCCGGCTAACCCGGACCGTCCTTGGATTTGCTTAAATCGGGAGATATACCTGTTTGGTCTAGATGTTGCTCCCAAAAGTATGCGAAGTTATATTAATATATAATAAGTACACTAAAGACCAAGATGCATCTCGCAGTGAGGACAGGGGTCGGTAGTGGCTGTCCCACATGGAAGTAGTCAGGACCATACCCACTGGGATGGTCCTATAATCCTCAGAGAAAGGTCAACATCCTTTCAATATGTACTAGCCCTTTGATATGTTCATCATATTTGCAGGGATTTGACTTGTTGACATCTGCTTGACATGTTGCAAAAATGCTCTAATACCAATGAAGTCCTATCTGATTTGACACGCACCATTTGCCTGGCTCTTGCCCTGTGGCTCAGCATGCCAAATGATCCAGTTATTGTGCGCAGAGGGTCTCACTGCAACCCACGTTTCTTGGAGCACATTTGCGGACGACAAGTTTGCTGCCACTCACCTTCATTGGCTTTATCACATTGCTAACCTTCGGGACCTCTTAATAGCCCAATCAATAGCATCAGTCAGCAATTTGGCTCTGAAAATCGGGTGTATTAAACCCTGGATGGCCATCTTACTGGGGCAAATGATGATTACCCTCTGGTAAACTAACATAGCTATTGAAAATTGCCATTTATAGTGGATCTACCCATTAAAAATGGTGATTTTCCATAGCTATGTTAAATTACCAGAGGGTAACCATGAAATTTCGGGGGTGTCCTGTTTTCCAGACCAAAAATCATCGCAGCCAACCAGTTTCCAGTGTGGGATCCTCTGGACCCGAGTCGCCATCAACCATAGCAAGGTTTGCCGTGAAAATGGTGGCGGAAAAAAAAGTCTGCCACCCAAGCTGAACAGCAAGAAGTCTTGCCACTTTTATAATAGAACAGTAGGAATGATTTCAGTGTATAATTAATATATATATATAGTTAGATTAATCAATTATATAATTAAATTACACAATACACACATATGTTCATATAATACTGTGTTTTCATGTCATATATTGTATACTGTATACATATTATATGGACATACCATATGTATAGATATTATATATCTAACACATTTTTTGGAGGCATATTATATATATACACACATATTCCATATACATTCATATATTATATACACACCTTGTATACATATCATATATACATATTATATGTAGACACGTTGTAGATGTTTATATATTATATAATGTAGACTTAACACATACACTACATCGCATTGCATTACATTGCAGTACTTGCATACATTTGTTTGTATAGATGTGTCACATGTCCATGTAAAATTATATATATATATGCTGACACTCGCCAAGCAAGGGGTCTGTGACATGCCTGACAAGTTGGCACCTGTGGGATCGATGCCATATTTTATTAAGATGTTGCCGCTGGTTCCACATGTACAAAATCTGCAAAGCATCATTCCCGATGGCACATCAATACGATTGTAAAATAGTAAAAGCATGTTTAAATTTAAATAGGATGACATCTCTGTTATTTTGTGACATTGTAGAGGGGTCTTTGAGCTAAGGGTTGACAAAATGTGCAAACATGCGCATTGGAATTTCACCCCCGTAATGTGAGCACTCAACCCTTCACTTGCATCATTCATTGCTTGAGCAAAGTGCTTGGAGTTTGCCTTTGGAGGTTTAAACCGTTCACCGGATGCCTCTTGTCATTTTAGGCGCGTTGCCACAGTCATTTCTTACTCAAGGAGAGTTCTGACGTTCTGACAGATAGCATCAACAATACCATAGCCCTTGATCAACGCCAACAAAAACATCAACTACACACATGCACACACACACACTTAATCACCCCTCAGCTCAGAGTCGCAGATTGTGGAAACATCAGAAGATGTACATCAGCCAATATAGTCAAGTTTGGTTTCAGTCCCCATTGTATAAGTTTTGGACCCGGTTGGAAATGCCATCAAAAACATCAAGCAAATATCATAGCCGATTTCCCCACCCCAAAAAAATATGCAAGTAGGAAGATTTTGGCAATCTGTTCAAAGTCCATTTTTCACCACACTGCCGGGCCACTGGGCGCATTTCGCATTCAAGGAGCACTGGTGATGCTCAGTAGAGATTCTTGTTTGCAGTATGGTAACATCGGGTTTTTCGCGATCCCCAAAAAGATCTTAACAGTAAAATCCTTCGCAAATAGTGATAGTTTGTCTTTCTCGTTGGGCTAACATAACTGTGAATGAGTATGAATGGTTGGCAGGTGAGAATCACAACATGCTCACACCTGTCATATAACAAAATGTTGGAATTTCCCAAGCGCCTGCCTGACCTTTAGAATGACATTCCAAATGGTGGGAAACTCCCAGTTCTCAAAGGCCTGGAAGATCTTGGATTTGCTGGAGATGACCCCCTTGATGTTTCATCAGTGACCGATGAACCACTTGGAGGTTTCAGAGGGTTGCCAAAAGACACCAAAACAAACGGAAACCGCTGTTTCAATATTGGATCTACTCATGATTTGAGGTCTCATATGGGTGTCATACAATATTCGGGCGAAGGGATTCTATCTATCCCACGTTTTATCTACATAGTAACTTGTTTGACTTTAATTCTAGTGGATAATTTTCAAATGGATAATTTCCCCTTGTTCATTTCGCATTGTTCATATTGTTCCATTTATTGGTTTTTCCTAGTTAACGGAACGAATTTTTGGAAGAGCCTTAGGCCCTGCCTTGGAGCAGCTCCAACTCATGCGATCAGACACCAAGGCGGTTCGCCCCGCGAGCCGTCAAAGCACTTGGCGTGCCATGGCAGCTGCAAGACGAGCAGCAGAGAGGGGGCTGGTGAAGGTCATGGCCGGGAGGTGGGATATGTGAGTCCAGAATGACTGACTGGTGGTTTGGAACATTTTATATTTTTCCATATATATATTGGGAATAATCATCCCAACTGACTAATATTTTTCAGAAGGGTCCAAACCACCAACCAGATGAGATAGTTTATGTTTTGATAGGATATGTTTTTGGGATATGTTTCTGGGATGTTAATGGGATACTTAATATGAGTTCATAGGATTTCGTAGGACTTAACAGCTGTAGAGGTTTAAAACAAACCTGGGGTTTGATTGAACTTATTGACCATCCGTTTAAGGGGTTTTATGTATGTTAAAGAAACTATCAAAGATAGGAAATATACCTGATACATGACGGTTGATATGGTTGATGGGTTTGGGGATTGTAATTTACATTTATTTCTTGGGGATGATGACAACGCATCGTTATACCTCTTGACCAACTAGTATGCTTCTTTTTCATTGCTCATGTGGACGTGGTTTTCAAGAATAGGGAATGGGGAAATCCCAGATTCTTCCCGTATCTAGAATCTTTACCAACATGTACCCTCAACGGCAGGCAAATCTACCATACATGGAGCATTTGCGAACGGTTTGTTCCTTGAGGGTAGAATCTTAGAAGACTTATGTTTTGGGAGGTGCCATTGAGATCCTTATGCGTTTATATCAGTCTATGTTTTTCAAAAACCATTCCTGCCAAGAATGGATAGAACGCATTTGAAAGTTGTTTCCATGGTGATATCTAGAAAAAGGCGATAGGCGCAGCCATCCAGTGTCAGAGGAAAGGGGCAAGCCGAGAGGCTCAGTTGGAATGTTGGAATGTTGATGAGACTCAGAACACAGATTCCTCTAGTCACCAAAGATGGAAATCTGGGCCATACAGGAAGGGCCCCCCTGGATAGGTAAGTTGCATAGTAGTGTATACCTAGGCCCAGAAGGATTTGGGGTGTATACTCTGTAGAGTGTTCTCAGGGTCCAATTCCAAATCTCCGTTCCAACAACAAAAAAACATGGCTTGGCCCCAACTTTCAATGAGGATTTCACCACCACCCCAGACAGCCAGTTCGGTGATCCTGCTGGGTTTGAGTGCAGGGTGCTTCTCCGAAGCACATCATACGAGCAGCGACCAAAGCGGCCAGACGCATTTGTCAGGAGGTGCCATGGAACAGAGCCTGCCAGAAAAGCATCCGCGATGATGCTAGGATGCTATCCTTCCCCGAGAATAGATCAAAAACATCAAAAACAACTTTGCTTCGATTGGCCCAAAATGGGTGGTTTCATCATTTTCACACTAAAGGTAGGCCATTAGTCATTAATCCGTTACTTCCCATTGTTGCAGACCCACAGGTTTATAGCCATCCCAATCTCCCGCAGGTCCAAGCAAGAAGGACGCGTGCCAAAGTTGCGCGGTCCCGAAGGCACAAGACGTGGCTGCCGCATGGGGATGATTTCCGAAAACTGACATTGTTGCAAAGGATCAGCACTTGTTGAACCATGCAGCGTTTGGGGTGTCGAATTCTGACACATGCCCAAATTGTAAAGGTCAAATGTCAAAAGTGGTTGCCCTAAAGTTTGCAAATTTTGCAATTTTCACCATGTGGAGGTATGATCAGAATCCTCCGGAATCAGCGGTTTTGGATCATTTGGATCGTCCAGCAGTCGATGGTCAGGAAACCGAGCTCAAAGAAAGCCTCGGAGACTTCAGGGCTCCAGGTGCGCCTGGAGGATGGGGCCTTGGCTCCAAATGGGGGTTTAACATGTTTTGATCTGTCTTAACCACATTTAACCATAAAAACTGGGGGCACATGTCAACAGCATATCAGACAAAGATAGATTAATAAAATATCTAACCAATCCCTATGGTGTGTGGTCAAGAGTTAAGGCCCAAAGAACATCAAAGAACCATAGATTCCATAGATGGCCTTGCATGTTTTACTTGTATTTAGCTTATATACCATCCTATTTTGGGGGAGCTGTCCAACTATGGGAGGCACTGACCGTTATCAGATCCACAAATTGCATGAGATTCGTACACGAAAATAGGGGGTGCCCAACCTCAATCATGGGTGCCTGATCTTCAGTATTGCTGACCAGAGTTTTGATGGCCTTCAAGATGTAGCTCCCCCAGCACCCCATGGAGCCGGCAGGCTGAAGCTCGGTCCCTGGCAACGAGGGCAGCAACTTGTCGAGAGGCAGGGAGGGGGTGCCTTCCTGATTTTCGTGAGGAAATTGACCAGAGCGTTTGATGGATTCTGGACATTGGATGCTGATTTTGGTGAGTTTCAAGGCAGAGACGTTTTTTTAGAATAACTTGAAGATATGTGAAGTGAAGATACCGTGTGGATCCTTGTGGTAATTTCACGTTTTGCTGAGGAAGCTATGGCCCATTTAGTTCGATGAAACTACCCATTAAAAACGGAATGATCCATGGCAAAGTGTTGATGATTCACCTGGGATGATCTTATCATTAGATCTTCAGCCAGAAAGCAGTTGCTATTTCCTATGGTGTGACCCTTATCTGGGGGTGGGAGCAGGTAAGTCAAATAACTACTCTAAAGAGCCCATAAAGGCCTCAGAATCCTTTATAGTGCCTCTAAAACCCTTCATAGTGGCTCCTAATCCCTCTTGAGTGCTCTTAACACACGAGAGGCACGGACTCAACTCATAACTCGCTCATATCAGCTCTCAAGTTGTCTTTTGGTGATGCTCTTGAGGGCTTAGAGCAGCTAAGAGAAGTTAAAATGGGTGAGGTCACATCAACGATACCTGCTGTTTGACAGGGTTTTTGGGCCCTCACATCAACAACTAAGCAACACACAGGGGAGGCTCCGCTCGATTTTGGGTGCTGTTCAAATTGGCCCTTCAAGATCAGGGGGGTCAGATACAGAAGGGCGGCTCCTGCTTTCTATGAGATCTTCTGAATCACAATGATCTTGGATACTCACTATCAAGAGGATAAACATTGTAACATATGATGCATATATATATATATAATTATGTATATATCTTAGATATGGTAATTATATTTGATGATAACATATGATAACATACTGTGGATGGTTGCGAAATCCCCAGTTGGTGACTATGAAGGTACCTATGAGACACTGGGAGTATAGTGCTATTGTAACAAGATTATGATATACATTCATGCATGCATGCATCCATCCAAAACCCATCCATCCATCCATCCGTCCGTCCATCCATCCATCCATCCATCCATCCGTACATACATATATGATGACAATGACGATGACGATGACGATGAGGATGACGATGACGATGACGATGACGATGACGATGACGATGATGATGATGATGATGATGATGATGATGGTGATGGTGATGGTGATGATGATGATGATGATGATGAGGATGATCTTAGATATTCTCTATATACTATATCTAGCATTTGATAGACATATGATTTCAACAACTCGAAAACTTGTGGGTGAAGCTGACAACGCCAGGCTTGGGACGCCACGGGGGCTGTGAAGGTTATCCAGGAAGCTGCGAAACGGATGGAGCTGGAGCCCCCAACTGGCTCGGGCTATGGCCGAAACCATAGGAATCCAGGACCATTGTGCCATTATGGACCATGAGAATGGGAAGATATATATATATATATATTAAATTACATACAGGATATTTTATATTGTCCCATATCCATATTATATACCCTCTGGTAAACTAACATAACTATTGAAAATTGCCATTTATAGTGCATTTACCCATTAATAATGGTGATTTTCCATAGCTACGTTAGTTTACCAGAGGGTGTGTATATATATAATATGAAGCCGCACGCATGGACTTACGATTTATCAACCAAACCAGACAAAGACATTTTGACAAACCGTCATATCATTGGAATATGAAACATATCATCATGTTAATGGGAAGATTTGATATGGACATTGAAAAAGAGAGAGAGAGAGATGTATAATTATATATATATATATATACATAATGTGACTGAAAATAGGATAATTATACCATCTTTTTGGCCATTTAATATGGAAATGATCATTAACCACTGGATTTAGGGCTACAATATTTTCAAACAGACCGACATGGCCCCATATTTATTATCATTGTAATGGGAATGTTTATATACGTATACAGTAATATATATATATACAGGGAATATTTGATGGGAATATCTCATGGGAACTGTTATCATTATATAATGGGAATATAGAATTGATATATATATATACACGTACATATATTTAACGGGATTATTCATATAATGATTAATGGGAATATGTGATGGGAAGAAATCATGGGAACATATAATGGGCCAAAAAAAGTGGTGAATGACTTCTCATGTCTTGTCTGGGGTTGCGACAAAAATCCAGCTTTGGGTTTTTGATGAAGCGATCAAGAGTTACTTGAAGTATGTGGGACCCAAACAGTTTGATGTGTCCAATGCATGGGAATGAAACAGACAGTTGAAATTCTTGCTGGCGGCAAAGGGATGTTCTCACAGATCATGGTTTCTCACACTGGGGCTAAGACAAATCTACAACTCTTTGTGCTAAAGAAAAACATGGAAAAACCACGGTTATGAGTTTATGGGGTTGCAACAGGTTTGTTTTCCGGTATCTCCAACAACTGGAAAATAACGGAAGTGGAATAGTACAATGGATTTCTTGACCTCGCGTCCCAAGGTCCCTCGAGATTCCAAGGCTCAGATCAAGTGGATCAGGGGGGCGATGGAACCTGTCCGTCTACCCGTTGTGAGTCGCGAAGAATTGGAGACATGTGCATTGAGACATTAAAAATCCCACCAAAGTTACCATCCCATGAAATAATGATTGCTTAGTAAATATTCCATCATCTTCCCAAAAATGGGCTGTCATATTCACCACAAGGATTTGCTATCAAAAAAATCGCTGCGACGTTTGCCTGGATTCTTACTCCGTAGAAAAAAAAATGGGGGGGGTGGTTGACCCGTCCGTCGGCCACAGGAAACTGCTGAAAGAAGCCGCCAGGGATGCCATACAGGTGCTGTGAACCATGGGCTGTGAACAGTTGGGGATGGTGAAGCGGGGGAGTTTTTGTCACAGCTGTAGGTCTTCGGTTTTCAGCCGTTATCAATAAAGACGTATAGATGTTTTTATATGCACATAATAATAATTCATAATATGTGATACAGAATACATACATTTATGCATATGACAAATATGTGTCAATATATATATATATATACAAAACTTATAACGTATATCCATGGTTTTGAACGCTGACGTTTCCTCCCAACGTTGGCACAAACATGACCCCAGACATGACTGAACTTCTACTTGGTGAGATGGCACCCATTCCTCTTAACATCTCACCAGTGCCCTCGCTATTGTTTGCTGGATGTACGTCTGTGTATATATAATTTATAACAAAAATAATAGTAATTAAGAAGAATTGTAATAATAGTAGTAACAATAATAGTAACAATAATAGCAATAATAGTAGTAATGATAATAGCAATAGGAACATAATAGTAATATACCTACGTGTTTTTTCAACACGCACACCCAGCTTCCGAGTTATGACATGCGAAAGATTATACAATCACACAGTGGCGATTATGTATTTGCTGAAGCTCGTCGTCCTTCTTATTCTCACCATGGCGAGAAATCACATCCTCCAAACACTAGCCTCTGGTTATGACTAACATAGCCATGGGAAATCACCATTTTTAATAGGTAAACCATCTATTTCTATGGGCCATCTATACCATGGCTATGTTAGTTTACTGGAGGGTAGCCATGTATCCCACATCCTCCAACGGTGGAATGCAGTCTATGAAAATGACGGAGGAATTTGCAAACATGTTTTCCGCCGCATCACGTTAGTATTGATGGTTACTAGGTAAATCTAACATGGATACTTTATATAATCCTTTAGTCTTTTGGTATTAATGGGAATATCATGGAATATCTACTAACCAGCAAATATTTTTTTTTGCAGGGTCTCTAAGATTGGCAATGGTTAAATCGAAATTTCGGATGGTAAAATCCAGTCAAAACATAACTTGCCACACATCCTAGTTAATTAGTGCGTAATAACTATGCTAACAGATGGGTTTCATGATCTCTACTCCCAGTCATAAATCGCAATTGACATTCCAGTTGGTGAGTTTCTAATCATCTATAATCTATGATGATCTATAGATATCTATAGTCCAAAAACTAAATAATTATATATATATTATAATCTATATATAATCTATAATTTCATATTAATTTCATATTAATTTCATATTAATTTCTATATCATTTCTATATCATTTCTATATCATTTCTATATCATTTCTATATCATTTCTATATATGAACTATATCCAAGTAGCCATGCCATGCCCAGGTCTTGGACTTGGATCATCCCAAAACACAGCGCTTGGTGTCGGACCCCTTGCGCAGGCGCCTGGGGGATCCCGGGGGATCCCGGGGGATCCCGGGGGCCCGTGTCTTTTCGCGGGAAATCTGGGGAAAAACCATGGACAAAACCAAGAACTGGAGGAAAATGATGGGAAAATCGTGGGAAAATGATGGGAAAATGATATCTAACGATTTTTTCCATGCCATGTTTGATTACTGCGGGGTAGACATTCCAGTCTGAGTGAAATCTCAGAATCTGTCCCATCTTGAGAAGAAACTTCACGAGAGAAGGAAAGAAAACAATCTGAGATTATATTTTAAGAACCGGAGAATCACGGGAAAATCATTGGAGTTTATTTACAGGACTTTGAACATTCATGAACATTCCATAAGGTATGTAAAGGTTGTGAAGCCAAGAAGTTGTTGTTCAAGTGACAAACCAGAACAATATGATGATGAAGCACAAACTGATTCTCGATGTGATTCTCTTGGCAAGGGTTTGCTCCAAATGTGTATCGTGTGTTGTGCCACAAGGATCCACAAGGTACCTTTCGTGTGGGATATCTTGGTTCGAATGGTGTTCATTTCATCCATGTTCTCCATCTTTTCCAAAGGGGCAACCAGAAACCCAAAATCGTTCACAGCATGTTGAGGATCTGTTGCAAGGAAACCACCGATATTGGAGGGCGTTCATTTCGCAAACATGCCAGTCAACCATGGCAAGGGGAAATCCCATGAGTGTCGCAGCTAGCCGTGGCTAGCCATGTTTGGCCAGGCTTGGCGTGAAGCAAGAGTAAATGCCCAGACAGGTGACAAAAAAAAACGCAGGTGTCAATCCAAACCTTTCTCAAAAATTGGGAAATGATCCAAAATTGCCAATTGAATGTGCAAAATGATGACAAGCCATCAAATCAAATTTGGGGTCACCCAATTTTTGTCCATATCTGTGTCAACAAACCATTTGACGACTGCCTACTGGTGGCTCAAGTTGGCTGACAAGGGCTGAACACATGTTGCGGAACATGGTGTGAACCAAAGGTTGACAGTGTCAGCAATTTGTAATATCACCAATGTCGTTTCCATAGATATATAATGATATATATATATAAGAAGATGGCAGTTTTGCAACTCAGTGGGCAGCGACATTCAGATCAACCTTTGTAGCATTGGCAATTTCCAAGAAGTCTGGATGCAGCAAGCACTGATCACTCGACCATACTGAACATACCGCCGTCCATAATCGAAGTGTTCTTTTCTGATCTCTAACTTTCCATACATCATGGGATATGTGAATATCAAGAAGAATTGAAGCTGAGTAAGATGGAATAAATAAGAATTGAACCTGAGTAAGCTGCAATAGATTGAACAAAAATGATATAATTCCATCTTACTATCCGTGATAGATCCGTGATATAATTGAATCATATAATCCCAATAAATGATGTTTTTGGGGGTTGAAACCACCATCCAGATCTCATTTTTCAAACGCAGCGCTTCATTCCACGAGCCGTGGTGAGCCGTTGATGAGCTAATGGCGATTCCCCCGCAGCTGGTGCTACGAATGGTGCCTGCTCCCAGTTGCAGCTCTCACCGAATTGTAGAAATAAATAGTTGGAATTGATACCCAGCGAATTTCAATTTATGTGTTCATGTTTATTCAATGTCTTACACTAGTTTTTACATATTTTTACTACTCCCAAAGATTGTCCATGCCAAAGTTCCCAATAGCCATTGACCTGGTTGCGAGTATGACCATGACCATTGCCTGATGTTTCAGGTAGTTTGGTTTTATGGCATAAACCATTGGATGATATGCCACAAATGCATACACATGCATGATCTTAGAGGATAACTGGACATCCATTTTACCATGTTTTGCCTACTGGTATCCAAAAATACGACTCATATCATCTACAACATGCTCAGGGAAAATATGTGTTACAATCATTGACTCCGTTGACATCCGTTGATACAATGGATCCAACAAATGATTCCATACAATGGAAAGTATCAACTATCATACAATAGTTGATTTTGAGTGGAAACTAAGCTTCCAAGACCCAACAAAAACATGTCAGGGTTTACGAAAATTTCCAGTGATCATCTGAAGAATTCAGAACGACCTCACGTCGCGAGGTCACAGGAATGTGGGGCCCCCCAGTTATAAATTGGTTTATAAACCCCAGTAACTATAGTTATTTGCGTACCATAAACCATAGTTATTGGAGTTATGTTCACCAACTTAGCTATCGTAAACGGGGGCCCCACTTTGTAGAAATAGATGGTTTACATATTAAAAATGGTGATTTCCCATGGCTATGTTAGATAACCAGATGGTATATCACCTCGCGAGGTCACAGGAATGATGGGAAAACTAACTCCCAACTGAGGCCCAGGCCGAAAGGCGTGCCGCGTCGCCGCCGCGTGGCATTGTAGCCTGGCGAGATGGGAAAATGATGGGAAAATATGTGATAAACTCGTGGTACCCTCTGGTAAACTGTCTCATAACTATGGAAAGATCCACCCTTTTTTATGGGAAAATCCACTATTTCTATGGCCATTTTCAATAGCTATGTTAAATTACCAGAGGGTACTACTAAACTTTAAGATCTATCTGTTTGGGGATTATGGATGGTAATTTGGACTGGAGATTGAATCATCATTCATGTGGGGTTCAACATATTAACAGGTAGTACTGTAATCATCAAAAATATGGGGATGTAGTTGATTAATGATGATGAATGATGTATCCGGTGTTGTACCTAATATATTGGGGATGATCATATGCCACCATGGGAATCCCCATTCATCAACCTGCTCATGATATGGGGAAGTGTTGTGGAATCATGAGCCAGTTCCCACCGGCCCCTGGTGACCACTTGCTACCGTTGGCCAGTCAGGCGTCGTGCACTTTTCAAGTGAAGGATAGTGAAACAATGCCCAATTGGCAAATATCAAGCAATTTTGACAGATATGCCTGGGTTTCGAATCAGAAGGATGGAATTTGGAGAGGTTTTTGATGGTTTTTGATGCTTGTTGCATAGACAACCGGTTGATTTCACGGCTGAGGGTATTCCCAGTCGGTACGCAGCATCCAGGAACGGATGGTCTCCATGCCGAACCGTAGAAGCACTGATGGCATCAGTTTCCGGGCTGAGAGGATCATGTAAACTGCAAGGAATGAGGGTTTGCCATTATCAACCATTACTAACCATTACTGACTATTATTTAGCCATTATTGAGCAATTATATATTATTAACCATTATTAGCCATTATCAGCCATTAACATCAACTGGACTCATTCGGAATGAGGGTTAAACCATGTTTTCTGAGCCAAACAAAAACTGGGAGCGAAACATGGTTTTGAAACCACCAGAATGGCGGCCTGGATCAGGGGAAAGTGGATTCAACCAGCAAAATTTGGTTTCCATATTTATGTATATGTATATATATACAATTATATACATTATGGGAGTTTCCAGAAATGGTGGTACCCGACAATTGATGGCTTAGAATGGAAAATCCTATTTAAAATTGGATGAATTCGGGGGGTACCCCCACTTTAGGAAACCTCCAAATTGGGATCATTTTCACGAATTGCGTGGCCTTGAAGCTGCTGCAAACCATGAGGCTTTCACCAAGAAATCGATCGCTTTACCAAAAAGACGTACCCCAGATAGGGTATACCACTGTTATATATATATAATTATTATTATCATCATTATTATTATCATTATTATTTATTATTATTATTATCATTATTATTTACTATTACTATAATAATATATATATATATGGTTTGGAAATTGGATTGTTAATTACCCAGTTCAATCACCTTGTTTGATGGTTTACTCATGTTAAATCACTCAAATCCCAATGTTTTTCATGGTGAGAACATCATTTTTGATGGTTAACCCCCCCATTTGTTGAAGGTTAAATCCCCATTGTGAAACAATGGCCAATCCTCACAAAATATGGATCAACGTGTCCATTTGTTGATGGTTAAATCACCATATTCACCGTATATTTTTCTGTCAAATCCTCCATTCAACCAAATTAACCATTGAACATCTTTTTTGATGGTTTATCCATTACCCATCCCAGATGCTCCATTTATGGAATATTTACCTACATTTACCCCAAAAATGACCCAGTCATGTAGGTAAATATTCCATACATGGAGCACCTGGGTATAGTGATATAGTAACTACTTCCAGTTATCAGATATTGTTTATCAACTGCAATAACTGAATATTGTAAATGTGGAATATATTACACTAATTCACTTAAATGCCATGTGGCTATGGATCAATACCTATAGATACATTACTATAGTGGGTTATTCACATCCATAAAGCCCAGCTATGACTTGGGGTTCACCAGGGGTACCAGGGTTTTGACCCATCCCCATTTCTCCATTGACCGTTCAACCCCCTACCTCCGTTGCTGCCACCGAGACTTCGAACGCAGCTCGCCCACCTCGGCCCACCGGCCGGTGGCTCGTCCCATGGCACAGGCGGCCAAGAAAAAACGGGGAGAGCCGCAAGCAAGTCTCCTACTATACGGCAACTGGTTGATTTTGAGCATTTACACATTATATAATATTATATATATAGAGATATGTATATATCTATATATATATATATTTATTTATATAACTATATGATATATTTGGAAACGCCAAACTCCGAATTGACTTTCAGAAGCGCTGAGTCTAAAGATGGGGCGCTATGAGTTGAAGGATTCAGATTGTCCGAGGTTGGAGAAACCGGCATCTTTTGCCACCTGGACATAAAAGGCATTGAATCTGAATAACCAATTGTTAGATAACCAGAGGGTTATGGGGGTTAAACCAATTGTTTATTGGGGATACTTTATGGGACCTATGTTATGAATAACAGTTTCATCCGAAAGCAACCTAATTGTGGATCCTGCGTACTTCAAGCACCATTCTACGAAGATGTCATGGATGGTCCGGTGCTAAAGTGCAGAAAAAACGCAGTTTGGATTGGCCTCTGGTACTCAAAGATCACTTGGTAAACAATTTTCCCACTGAGGGATGTGCTCTGGTTGCTAAAGAATTTTCCCACAGATTTCCCACTTGCTAATCTGGTTCCATTTCTGATTTTCCCACTGTTTCCCGGCCAACTTGGATTTTCCCACCGGATGCTGGTGCAGGTGCCACAACACATGCCGCAGCACATGCATGGTGTGCCCATGGATGGAAGGCGGGGCGAGATGGATTCGTTGCCAAAGATGGAGGTTTCCTAAGTCATGGGGTTACCCCTAAAAAACATCTATTTTCATAGGATATCATAGGATGCTCCATCATAAAGGATCCATTTTGGGGTCCAATGATTCGTGGACTTCACTGTGAGAGTGAACTGTTTGCCCGCCCTTTACATCCCAACCTTGCCACCAAGTGATATTTGAAAAACGTTTGCCATCATGATTATGTATTATCTAGGCTTATCCCATTATTTGTTGGTGATATCACTCTTGTTTGATTCTTGATGCCTTGGGACATCACAACGATCACAGGCCGCGCGTCTTGCACGCGTCACACGTGGCACCGCCTGGTCAATGGAGCGCGTCGGTGAGTCGTTAAAAGTGGATGATTTCATCAACAAATTACCTTCCGGTAATTTCACACAGCTATGGAAAATGGATGGAAAATGACTCATTGATAGATGATTGACCGATTCATGAAATGGTGGTTTTCCATAGCTAGCTGTTAGATAACCAGAGGGTTATGAGGGTTAAACCAATAATTTATTGGGGATACTTTATGGGAAATATAACCAACAAATACCAACTATACAGGATATCATGATAGCAAGTATGTGTTTTTTTTTATTAACCTCTCCATAGAACGAGCGATGTGTGTTCATATCAGTTAATATCCTATAAACTGTCCTATTTTGATGGTGATCTACAATAGTCATTGGGATGATTTAGGGAAACATCTACAGGAAACCATGTTTTATCCAGTCAAATACGGGATGTTCCCAAACATTTTCTGGGATATGGGTCAAGATTGAAGAGCTACAAAAACCAAAGATGCTGGAGGAATTGTTTCAGGTAGATAAATATGTAAATAAATTTAAATAAACATATTATATATATGTATATACATATATGTACGTATGTATATATATATATCCCATCCACTAAGATGGACATAGAAAACCCGCGGACTTCACCATGCTGGTGGGAGAGTCTTCTGTTTTTTTTTGAGGCTACTGGCTTGATGGCTTGACCTGTTGGGATTTCTGTGGCTGATAGATGGTTCAAATCCGGTTGACAGGCTGCTCTGATGTAGAGAGTTACTATGCCTCCGACTGCCAAATTCATAATTAGTGGATATTAGTGGGAACATCACGGACACAAAACGAGATGCAACGTCCGGAAACATGTAGCATGCGAAGATTGGCTCAGAAAAATCATCGGTGGCGGGCCCGGTGGCGGGTATAGTCTTTTCACATGTCGATCTTCTAAACATGCTCCAAATCAACATATCTCTGCCTAGTGGTCGCAGCGAGAAGCTGTTAGTCCCAGAGTCTTTCACAGTGGGCGATTTGAGGATTCTGGCCCAGATGTCTTTTGAAGAAGGCTTCTTAAGGCTAGTTACTGCAGATGGCTGTGTCCTGACTGATGCTTCTGAATCTTTGCAAGCTGTTGGGTTACAGGAGGAGGACTATCTTACCGCTCTTGTACTTCAACCAAGGTTCAAGGCAACAGCAAGAGCCTTTGCTCTATGGTGTTGTGGAGGAGATAGGATCCTCACATGGGGCCGTCCAGAATATGGTGGCGACAGCTCGGCAGTTCAAACTCAGCCCAAGAGTGTCCAGCAGGCGATCCACTGTATGGTGCGGACAGCTCTGCGGTCCAAAATCAGCTCCGGAATGTCCGGCAGGTGCATGGCACACGTGCTGCATTTGCTGCGGTTCTGGCAGACGGATCTGTTGTGACGTGGGGCGATGTAGATGAGGGTGGGGCTGAAAGCTTTCACGTCCAAGATCAGCTGAGAAATGTGCGGCAGGTTCAGGCGACAAAGTTCGCATTCGCTGCTCTCCTAGCAGATGGATCTGTTGTCACGTGGGGTGATCCACGGTATGGTGGTGACAGCTCTAAAGTCCAAAGTCGACTGCAGGGTGTAGAGCAGGTTGAGGCCACCCACATGGCATTTGCTGCCATTTTGAGAGATGGATCAGTTGTTACATGGGGCTTTCCACTTGGCGGTAGTGACACCTCTGACGTCCGAGATGAGCTCAGGAATGTGAAGCAAGTTCGGGGAACAAGTTCTGCATTTGCCGCAATCCTGCAGGATGGATCGGTGGTTACATGGGGCTTTCCAAGATTTGGTGGTGACAGCTCCAAAGTCCAAGACCAGGTGACCAGCTCAAGAGTGTGAGTCAAGTTCATTCAACTCATCGTGCATTCGCTGCTGTCTTGGCAGACGGATCTGTTGTCACATGGGGTGATCCTTTATTTGGTGGTGACAGTTCTAAGGTCCAAAGTCAGCTCCGGAGTTTGCGGCAGGTACAGGGCACGTTGGCCGCGTTTGCTGCAATCCTGGCAGACGGATCTGTTGTTACGTGGGGTGATCCACTGAATGGTGCGGACAGCTCTGCGGTCCAAAATCAGCTCCAGAATGTTCAGCAGGTGCATGGCACATATGCTGCATTTGCTGCGGTTCTGGCAGACGGATCTGTTGTGACATGGGGCGATGCAAAGGATGGTGGGAACAGCTCTGCGGTCGAAGATGAGCACAGGAATCTGTAGGGTCTGTAGCACGAAATTTGGGTGTCACTGCCATGGACAGTTGGAGGGCATTGTTTCATCCATAAGAATCAAGAGTTTACCTGCAGGTTGAGGGAAGAAAGCTGCGATCAAGCAACCTGCAGAAATCCATTCTAATCGGTACATACTAGTACTGTTGGTGGTTTCATCTGGTGTCAGGGATGATGATCCAAACTTAGTATATTCATCAGTACAGTGATCGTGGGTGGCTGGGCTTGCCTGGCCTTGGGCCTTGCAAAATGAGAAACTCAAGGTCCTCTCATGACTCAGACGCCAATGACATGGTCCCTCGAAAAACTTTGGCCTGTCATCGCTGATACCCTCTGGTAATTTAACATAGCTATTGAAAATCACCATTTTTTATGGGAAAACTCACTATAAATCACCATTTTCAATAGCTATGTTAGTTTACCAGAGGGTACCGGTACTGGAATAACTAAACATGTTCTGACCTCAGGGCTGTCAGAGGATGCTCCACCACTTCGTTCACCTCAGCCAGGAGCAGCCCCAGGATGGCTCCATTGTCATCCACAGCAAGGAGAAATTCAGAGCTGTTTGAGTACTCCTTCCAGCCTCCAGTTTCAGGCGGATTCAGCCAACGCCAATACTAGAGTACTGTAGTATAGATGACACAAAGCCATTTATTAGTGGATTATTAGTGGTTTGTTGGTGGTCAATAGACCCTTAAACCTTAGAACCGGCGGTTAACAGAATCCCCATGACACAGAGATGACCCCAGGACTCAGCTGAATGCTGCGCCCTGTTTGGCTTCTCCACGACCTCTCCAAGAGGTCCAGGGACCACAGGTAGAAACTATCCAGTTCTTGTGGCTCTCCTATACCTTCAAGTCAGTTCTGGATAGTTCTGTTTTTTCGAGAAGTACATTCCTCACACACATAGAACGAAAATAGTTGGTTTGAAAGACGGGTTGTAAATTGTTGTAAATTGTTATAGTTTTTTCGCTGAAATCCAAGCATTCTTCAAAATCGGCAATCTGTTTAGGATGTATTTTCAAAATCAACAATTAAATTTTGATTTTGCATGTCTATCTTCCTGGATGGCAGGCTGCCGCCCTGGACATGCTGAGCAGATCTAGCAGAGAGCTGCAGGCCACAGTCTTTTACCTGTTCCGGAGTGTGATGGTCAGGACTGGGATGTAGAAACAGCCATGGAAATTGGGGCGTTCAGGCAACAGAAACGGGATTTTCGGAAGCAAAAGTGCTGGATTAAACCAACAAAACCTACTTTTGACGCGCAAAAATGAGGGGTCAATCAGTTGAAAAGGGCCCAGCGGCCGAGCAAAATCGGGATATGAGCAACATGAGCCTCCCTAAGTGATGTTGGGGGTTCCGAAGACTGGTCAGATGTCAATCCTGCAATATCCTGCAGTTGGAGAGAAAAATCACAAGGTTAGCAGAGGTAGATCCATGTAGCTCCGCTCTTTGAGGATCCCCTTCACAGGTGGCTTTGTCTGACGTCACTGACGATGTTTGAAGATTTGCTACCCGTCGTCATCATAAATGTCCCATATGTTTCTCGCAGCCCATCATGGGCCATGAAAGATGGTCATGACTTGAGGATAATGATGAGTATTGCATGACCACAGGGATTATTATTGGGCAATTGATTGGTATACTGCATTGATAATTGATGAGAATTCTCATCAGTCACCATTGGTCATAAAAAAATCATCATTGATGATTTGGAGTATTCTCCAATTTTTATTGGGCAAAGCATTGCAGTGGACAGCTGCCACAGTGCTGACAGGTGCCTCCTGGGGTTGTTGGACATGTTGGACTTTATCAGAATGCTCGCGCCAGCATTGTGACAGGTCGGCAGCAGGGGTGTGGTCGCAATCCCCTTAAGGTCCCTAAATATGAAACACTCCCCAAGGATCCCACATATTCGCAAATCGCCAACTCGCCTTGTTAATCCTGGTTTTGGGGGGTGTGTTTAATATTAAGGGGAAGGGATTAGTATGTGACGTTATAGAATGTTATGGACCCTTTCTGGTTGGGAATGTCACTGGGTCAAGAGGTATTCCTCAAGACAGACCAATTACTGTAGCTTTTCGAGCTGGAATGCACCTTCATGTCAATGATATGAGAAGAATAGAAAGCCGTGCAGATCACCATTGATGGTGGACAGCCTCCAAAAATAGGTGGTCCATGTGGTCAGAATCCCGAAAATGATCCAAATACAGATAGCATATAGCAACCCCCAATAAGATATAGAAGTAAATTGCATTAATTTGCCACTATTTTAGTAATTTTAGTAGGAGTTTACTTTTGTATATTTTCTGGATTTACTTTGTACCATTTGTGGAGCATGTGGGTTGGATCAAGAATCCTTAGGATCCTTGTCTGGTTGGTAGTTTGCAACATGTTTTTTCCATTCAGTTGGGAATGTCATCATCCCAACTGACGAAGTCCATCATTTTTCAGAGGGGTTAGCAGGTCAACCACCAACCAGATTATCATTAACCATTAATAATAACCATTGATATTAACCATTATTAACAGTATTTTGAAGTTCGCAGACATGGCTTGGGGCACCGCATAGACTGGGAGATCCCACAAAGGCGTACGGTGTCGTAAGGTCTGACTGTGAGACAGTGAAATAAAACCTGCCAGCGCGCTGAAATTGAAATAAAATAGCCTGAGACCTGAAACCATGCAATGTTACATAATTTTACTGTAAATGTCCAAAATAATGTCCAGAACTAGAGTTCAGTTCGCATCAAAGAAGCCCTCAAAACTCCCTAAAATGTCTTCCCCAAAACAATACACGAAACGATCACCCCAGCGTCGACAATGCTATCCCAGGTCCTCCAGCTTTATGGGGAGGGTCTCCACCGCTGTCTCCACGCTTTGCGGTGTCACCCAGGCACAGGGAAACAAATAATAGCCTTCAAAGATCATCAAAGGGTGTTGTTAGAGACTCTAAAATATCAGAAAATATCTTATCATATCCAATTACTGTATATCCAGTTAAATTAGTAATTCAGTTGATGTTTTCGGTGATTCTGTTGTGTTTGAAGGACGGACTGAATCTGCGGCTTCCACTTCCGGCCTGCCAGGGGGTACCAGGCGGCGTACCAGGCGACGTACCGGGCATACCAAGCCGACTGCTGTGGAAATCGTTGTGGAGATCAAGATTGAGCCGAAAATCAATCGGCTGGTTGTTGATGTTAAAAAAAATCATCGGATGGTTTCTGTTCATATTCTGAATTTGGACCAAACATTGTGGTTCTGAGCTCTTTGGAATTAGATCCACATGTTTCTGCAGTCCTAAAGTATGTGACTTTTTGACTCTTTTTGTTGGCTGTCGGCGCACAAGTGCGGGCCTGGAAAACAAGTGGTTTAGGGATGTATGAGGCACCATTTGTGAGACATACTATACGCATAAAATCCCATGAAATTGCATGTGGCCATTTGAGTGAAACAAGTTCCATGTTCATCTCGCTTGAGAAGAATGTCTCCAGTAAAGATTTTCTGTTGCAGAGCGGAGCTGGGGAGATTGTAATCAGAAATGATTTCCCGATTCTGCTCCCAAGGATCCTTGAAGTTCAAAGATTCACAGATTGTTTGGAATTGAGTTGAATATAGTTGAGTGATATTTCGATAGAACAAGGATATTGAAATCATCCCCTTTTAGTATTTTTTATAGTTTTATGAGTTTTATATAGTTTTATGACAAAATTATGGTTGGTAATACTAATTTGTGCATGGCATTAAATTTAACATATGTTTTAGTCCGCTACTAATATTTATACACACACACAGAGAAATCATCCATCCATCCATTTTTCCTCAAGCCCACCGATGTGCGGCCCTCAAGGGCCTTAAGCGCTAGCCTAAACCTGAGGAAGGCTTAGAGCCACCAAACTGCAAACCAAGGAGCATCTCAGCTTTCAGGCTAAGCAAAACATGAAGAAAACATCAACAAGTTTTAAGGGTGTCTTCATCGCCTTGATCGCCTTGATTGCCTGGGAACGATAAACACTGCGTTCATTGCTTTCACTGCCTTCATCGCCTTCATTCGCTGAGCTTCTCTCATTGGCTACATTAGACTCCGCAAAAAATGGAATAGAGCCGCACGGGCTCCCGGGGTAATGATTGGGATTCCGGCCATGTTTTCCCAATACGCGGCCAAATCTGAATTGCTAAAATTAATGGTCCACCATGCTTGAAAAAGCTCCACAGTTCTTGGTAAAGGGAAAGCAGGGGGACGAATAGCACCAATGAGTAAACCACATAGAACCCCAAAAACCCACACCCCAATAATTAACCAAAAAGATCAGAACTTGAGCTCTTTCACAATGGATGCCACCAGCTTGGCTTTGGCAACATTTCGGGTTGGTGGAGCTTTCCCGTTCCCATATCGAACGATAAAGGAATTTAGGCTCTTGGCTGGAGGCTTGGCGGACGCCAAACGCGTCTCAACAGCTTTTTCTGTGAGCGGTTTATTTCCAAAACTCACAGAATGACCCAACCCTGCTTCCAACAACTTCAAGATAGCAACAGGAATTTGATTCTCATCAGGATTCTTTTCAGAGTCAGGGCCATGGCTCGGGACACTGGGTCTAGTAGGCAAATGGGGAACTGAGCTTTGAGCTAGTGGAGCACTCACATCAGCAGCAGGCTGCTGGACTGGAGGATTGAGCCCTATGGCCGCCTGCTCTGCCTTTTTTTGCTTCTCCCGCTCTTCCAAACACAATGCCAAAGCTTGAGCTTGAAGGTGTCGCTCTTGCCAAGCAAGAGTCTCCTGCTTTTGACGCTTATATTCGATATATCCGGGAGAATCTTTGCACGCAGGCTCACTGGGCTTTTTGCTTCGGGCAGGAGAGCGAGAATCCGACTTTGATCTACGCCGACGCCGGCCTCGGGAGTGGGTCCGCGAATCCGTTCTGGCATAATAATCAAAACTGTGGCGGTGATGGGAATCTCTGTCAGAATAGCGGCCGTCACCTTTGCGGCCCCACTGCCCCTTGCTGGTCTCTTTCTGCCCATGACGGCCCGCTTCCGCTAGCCATGAGCCACCCAACAGGCACAAAAACACCAAAACCCGCACAGCAGGCCTCATGCTGCTGGCAGTTGGCAAATGCTATTGCGCTACAGCTCAGCCAAAATCTAACAAAGATTAACTAGGGCAACCTGGTAAGTTGGACAAGAGCGAAACCAGTTCACCCCCGAAAAAAACAAATTCTGGATATATAGTGAAGTAACCCAGACTGGGCCTGATCCGGAAATTATCTGGCTAGGAAGTCCAACTTCGCGTGCAGAACCGCCATGTCGAAGGAAAACGGCCAGGCTTATTCAACAAACGGATGGTCCATAAGAAGTTGCAGTAAGCAAAATAAAGAAACCCATTATCCATGTAACAACAAACAGCTTAGCCCTCAATTTCCTTGTCGACGTAGCAGGGTTCTAACAGCTATTCTGAGATTAAGAAACACAGCGCTCTGGAATGGTAATGAGTGTACAAGAGCACGCAACAGACTTATAGGATATCCTTCCAAAATGAGTTCTTGGATCTCTTCAATCATGCAAGCTGTCTGCAATTTCTCGGTCAGCTCAAGTTCGTCTAGTCGAGCTGCTCGGCTTAGCAGCAGCCCTCTGAGAAGCCCAAAAGGGCATTGTAGGCGGTCGAGATAAGGGACCCGGCGCTGCTTCCCCTTATCTCCAGTGCCTAGCAGCCATGGTCTGTTGGGATTCTTCGCTGTCCATGTAATAGCTCCACCAATTGGGTCAACCTGAAAAATCACATCCGTAAAGGTTTGCTCACATTCTTCCGTGTTGACAGAAAATTGGACGAATAAATTTCTGTTAACATTTGTTGCAAACACTTGTGGCATATCGCATATGAGACCATCAGCAGGTCATCTACATATCTCATCCCAAAAAACAGTTCCTCCACCTTCCATCCCTCCGGAAAGTTGATTATTCGATCGTTGGCACGCTGAAGAAATTGCTCCTCCTCATGGCTTAGCAAACATACCGCTGCGATCATTGAAAGCAAGCCTCCAATCATAAGGCCTTTTGCTGCCACCACCAGATCACCGACACTTGCAAACCTCAAAAAGCAGCTAGCCTGCAACATGCGCCGCAAACGCCAGAGTGGAAAGGTGATACATGCGCGAGACCGCGCGTGTTCTGAGCCACCAGGCCAACCCTTGACCAAACGCGCTTTTGCCACTGTAATTGCATCAGCTCCTTTCTCGCTTCTCAGTGTAGCAGCCTTAGCGTCAAAGGCCTCCAGAACTAAAATTGTATTGATTTGCTCGTACATCTGCGCTGCATCAGCAATCAAAAGTGATGTAAAAGGCTTACACTTTCCACACATGATGCACTGGCCAGGCTGCTGGGAAACCCGAAGCTTTGCCATGCGGGCTCGAAAAGTTGGAATGATTTGCTTAAGCTGCCAAACTGAAAAACCATCCCCTGTCAATGAGATGAGAACCTGAATAGCTCTTCCTGCCTGCCTCCATGCACGCCTCCAAGGTGATTTGAAAAAGGAAACTACTTTCCGCAAACAGCTGTGGTTCGCTTTGCTGCATGTGTGGCCTCCTGTTGCCGAAAAGCATTTGGCTTTGACAAACGGGTACATGTATGGAGCGTATGAACCCTTATGTAGAGGCCCCTTCCGCATAAATGCCGGGATTGCGAACAAAGATACGCCATGCACCAAGACACTAAGACTAGCAGGGGACATTGTTGTCACTTCCCATTGTGGATCCAGCAAGACTAAGCTCATGAAAATGGCTGACAAGCATGCAAAGGACATCGTCCATGTGGCCTTCTTGTCTTTATCATCCTGAAGAAGCACTTCGTTTTGGTGTTGTGTCATGCCAAAAATATAGTCGCTTTCTGCTGCTGGTTGCTCCTGCTCAGGGAACTGAGGAATCCTTGATTGCCGCCAGCAGTGCCGTCCAATGCGGCGAGGGACATGGTGATCACGCAGCCATGCATGCATATCTTGTTGCAAGTTCTTGTGGGACTTGTGTAGTGCTTCCCGATCTTGGATAGACCAATTGCCAGGAAGCCTTCTAACACCTTCCCCTCTTCTGTGGTGCTCAATCTCAAGACAGCCTTGATGCCATACAGATGAAACTGTGATTCGCTTGGATTGCTCAGCTGCATTGCGTCTGTCCAGGAAACGAGGAATGGAACCACTGCAGAACTTGACCCTGGCCAAAACCCAATGGAAAACAAACGCCCCATGTATCGACGCAAGATAGCTCGCTGCTCTTCGCACAGCTGCCTGAGCCTGCCGCATGGCCCCCGCATCTGGGCATTTGATCCAGCGCATGCGCCTAGGAGGAAGCCGGAACTGCCTCAGGAGTCTGTCAACTTTTTGGAAGCCATTGCACTGTCGAACATAGCCCTGCACTAGAGAAACCAAAGCAGCTAGGCGCAAGACGGCTGTTGCCGGCCGCGTGCGCGCCACAAGCAGTCGCGAATCCACATGTGAATGCTTCGTGCATGCCCACAGGGCCAGCAACCCGCCTTGATGTGGTGAAAAAATAGAAATTGGGCCTAACTTCCCAGTTTTTGCAAAAAAGGCTTGTTGCTTCTGTCGGTAAGCTTCTTTGAAAGTTTGGACCGACCAGGAAGGTCCCAAATTCCCAAAAGGACATGCCTCTTTTCTCCTGCACTTGCTCACCAACTGCTGGACACATACCACAGAGCTCCAGAAACATGATTGGCGGCGCCCCTGCCGAAATCGAGGAGGCGGACGATTGCGACGTCTCGGTCGGTTCTTGGACCTGGTGGGTCTACATTGACCTTTGTTGCCAGGAGGCCGCAACGCCCGAATTGCTACTGTTTCAGAAACCCGAATCCAGTCGTGGGCGCCGCGCTTGATCAGAATGAACCCCAAAGTATGAGCAGGACGCTGGCGTAAAAGAACTGCCCGAGTTGAACGTGAAGCTTGCGCATCACGCCTCAAGATCGAAAGCAAATGTTCCATAATGCGGCTTGGGAGGCCCAGGGCATGATTCCGTCTTTGCAGAAGCGCCTTTCCAATATACCAGGAGTGGCTGTTGAAGAGTGAATAGACACAAGCTTCGTCCTCAGCCCCTTGACCTTCGAGTCCTTGTCTAAGAAAGGACAAAGCTGTCAAAATAACCTCATCCGTCAAATGCGTTTCTCGAAGGATACGTCGAATCGGTTCCACTGCTATGTGAGCCACGCGCTGAACCCATGGAAAATGAGAATTCATACGTAGATGCAAGATTCCTTGTATTGTCATGACTGAAGCTAAAACCAACCAAATCCTCCAGCTATGCTTGTGTGTTCTTATATGATCAGGAAAAAGCATCACCAGTAATGCCGCTTGCATGGATTGGATTCTGCGCAGCAACTGCTTGGGTGGCAACGCGTTCGACAGAGACAACCGAGCAGACATCCACATGTCTCCTAATAAATCCGCCGCCGTGGCTTCCGCTGATTCTCCTACTTGAACTATGCCCGAACCCCAAATCATCACCAAACTTGCCAAGCATTGATTTTCAAAAGTCATATCTGCCAGAAATGTATTTGACAACCAAGCGTGAGGGGACCTGTTCAAGAATCGCTGTAGGACACAAGAACGCAATCACAAATAATCGTATTGATCAAACAACTGTATCGAAAGATGAAGGTTGAAAATTGCAAGTTGAAAGTTGCAAGTCGTCAAAGGCCGTAAGCGTCACTGAAGCTGTCTGAACGTTCAGATTCACCCGGATCTCTTTGCCGCGGTATTTTCACAGAGAATTCATCCATCCATTTTTCCTCAAGCCCACCGATGTGCGGCCCTCAAGGGCCTTAAGCGCTAGCCTAAACCTGAGGAAGGCTTAGAGCCACCAAACTGCAAACCAAGGAGCATCTCAGCTTTCAGGCTAAGCAAAACATGAAGAAAACATCAACAAGTTTTAAGGGTGTCTTCATCGCCTTGATCGCCTTGATTGCCTGGGAACGATAAACACTGCGTTCATTGCTTTCACTGCCTTCATCGCCTTCATTCGCTGAGCTTCTCTCATTGGCTACATTAGACTCCGCAAAAAATGGAATAGAGCCGCACGGGCTCCCGGGGTAATGATTGGGATTCCGGCCATGTTTTCCCAACACGCGGCCAAATCTGAATGGCTAAAATTAATGGTCCACCATGCTTGAAAAAGCTCCACAGTTCTTGGTAAAGGGAAAGCAGGGGGACGAATAGCACCAATGTTCTTGGTAAAGGGAAAGCAGGGGGACGAATAGCACCAATATTTATAATACTGTGGACGGTTGCGAAATCCTGCACCACCTGGGATGATAGAAAAACCTATAAATAATGGGATGTTTACCACCTATGAACTGGTGCAGGATTTCTTCCATCCACAGTATGACTCGTCTCAACCAATCATCCCAAGTATAGTTCGACCCCACAACCATCCTACTATCATTGCTATAGTTATATAGTCCACATGTAACTTGGACAGTCGCATCATGCTCTGTCATGCTCAGGCCGAGCGCCCTGGGGGCCCTGCCAACGCTGCCAACGGCCTGTGGGAGCAGTCGGGGGATCCCAGCAGGTGGAAACGACATGAAAACATGTTACTGTACCATCATATAATGGATAGTTCTGTGGGATGGTTCAACAATGTTACCCATAAAATTGGTGAAATAGACCAATATAGACCAATAATAATAATTTTATAATAATAATATCATATCCATATAAGATACCATCATATAATATCATCATATAATAATCAGATACCATCATATTAATAATCATATAATGGTTCCAATGAAATTGAAGATATCTGAAGGTGCTTCTCAGATTTTATGGAGAAATCAACGGAGAGAATGTGTTGGAAGTTGGAGGCAGAACGCACAACGTTTGGAGTTTGTGTTTCAGAACGGCCTTTTTCGTGAGCAAGTTGATTCCCACAGAATCCCAGTGACATTTGTGCAAAAGGGTAGCACCAATCCCAGATGAATTGAGAATTTTCCGCCAAAGATGTTGGATGGGATCAAGAGATATCTTGAATGAGTAGAGGTGGAATGGAAGGGTACAATTTCTCAAACCTGCCAGGAAGACGAGACGAAGACAGACCAAGATAGACCAAGCCTATCAATTCGGAGCAGCAAATATGGTGGAAGGGTACCCAAAATTTGGACCTTCGATTTTCCATTTTTGTTGCAGAATCTGTTCCATAGATCCACACAAAGATACCCTCTGGTAATTTAACATAGCCATGGAAAATCACCATTTATAATAGGTAAACCATCTATTTCATTCTATTTCTATGGGCCATTTTCCATAGCTATATTAAATTACCAGAGGGTAAATCAAATTAAATCAACCCAGATGGCTTCGTGAAAAAATAGGACACTTCCAGACCCAAATCTGCTGGTGAATCATCACGGTCGCTTTTTGAAGACGATGATTTCTTGATTGTCGGTGAATCGGCTGGTGATATACCATCTGGTCAATGGGAATTCCAGGATCCTAAATTGGAGGTACTGTACCATATAAGGCCATATTTTGTGGGGATATTCCCTTACATAGGCCTTATATAGGCCTTATATATGGTAGGTACCTCCAATTTAGGATCCTGGAATGGCCATTGATCTGGTTATGACTGACATTCACAGTTCGCCATGGTTGGTATCCATGGCCCTAATCGAACGAAATAGATGGTTTACCGAACGAAAAATAGCATGGTGACTAACATAGCCATGGTATAGATTGGCCCTAATCGAAATAGATGGTTTACCTAGCTATAGAATGGTGGATCGTTCCACTTCGCGAACTGTGAATGTCATGCAACCAGAGGATAGATGCCATGCCATATTTCATGAAGAGATCCTGCCATCCACGTTCACCTTGAGGCATCGTCTTCAAGCGATGCAACAGCTGCGGCGGCAAGGGACGCTCAGTTTTGACTTAAGCAGGTGTTGATACGGTGACTCTTTAAGGGGTGGAGTGTGTTTACATGAGTATCTTGTCTACATTAATATACTATATGCCCCATGACGTTTTGGTGATTTTCATGTTGGGACCGCTGGGTTTTTTGATCGTCTATCTACTCCTGGATGAGGCTGTGTAAAGGGTGTACATAGGGTTGGGAGCACAGGTGCAAACTCTAACAATACACTGGACATGCTAATAGAACTCGGCAACTGTAACTAACGGGGGAACCAATTCACTGCATGTAATTCCTGCAGAATGAAGTTCGAGTGACATTTGTCATCATGTGTCACATGTTTTGGAACATGTTTTTTCCATTCAGTTGGGAATTTCATAATCCCAACTGACTCCATCATTTTTCAGAGGGGTTAGCAGGTCAACCACCAACCAGATGATCATTAACCATTAATAATAACCATTATTATCCATTATTAACAGTATTTTCACCACAATGCTAGGTCAACCAACCAGGACTGGCAAATCCTCAACAAAATTCACCGCCAGTCGCAACGATCGCCCAGGACCCAAGGGACCCAAGGCGAGGCCAAACACCAAGGTCACCAAGGTCACCAAGGCCCGGCCATGGTTTGTCGATGGTCCTAATCGAAATAGATGGTTTACCTAGCTATAATCATAGAATTGGATGATGGGAAAATTTACAGGAAAGCCCTATATTTGATGGTAAAAACCATGGTTTCCTGTAGATTTTCCCTTAAATCAATCCAATGATATAAAATGGTGGATCTTTCCACTTCGCTATGTTAGTCATAACCAGATGGTATATTAATACATGTTTGGAAACATATTTCAATAATATGCAAGTGGGGATTGCTATTGGTGATGATTATATGCTTGAATTTGGGGAGAGCATCGATTGAGGACTTAAATCTGGCGATTTGTGATCATTGTTCCAGCTTGGTGAAGCACAAGTCTAGTCCAGTGCATCACGCACCTGAATATGTTCTAAAATGTTTTAAAAAAAACGGATACTATATGATGATTATGTCTCAATTGTCATAGAATTGGATTATGGGAAAATTTACAGGAAAGCCCTATATTTGATGGTAAAAACTATGGTTTCCTGTAAATTTTCCCTTAAACCAATCCAGTGAAATTGTGTTTTTTACATATCATTTCTGGCCTGAATTGGAATGGCCGAAGGAATCATGTTCAATCACTGCAGATACAAACTGTAAATGTGTTGATCCATATTCACTATGGGCTAGTTGATCACATGCAATTGCGTATCGTACAAAGCGTCTATCTGCATGGATATGTATTTCAGTACACCCATCTATCTGTTCAATCATTAGACCCCAATGTCAATCTGTAGATTTTCCAAAGCTGAAACATCCATGGGTCCATAGATCTCAGGCTACATCCTCGAAGCGGAGCCATCACAGAGATACATCATCCCGGTGGGCCACCAACCGACCAGCCACCTGGTACCTGCCGAGCCCAGCTTGGACGCTTCCACCAAGCGGTCGGAAGCAGCGGCAGCTGCAACAGCCGCGGTTTTGGCGCCTGAAGTGCGCCAGATGGAAAGGCCTGAGGCAAGGGAGGCTCCAAAGCAAGGGTCAGGACCGTCCCCACCCAGAGAGAAGAGCTATTCGACTCCGGGGCTACTTGGCTGGCCGTTGGGGATTGGGGGAAGGATTCTCAGTCTTTGGTTTGCTTCAATTTGTTGTGTTCACCAGCATGTCACCATGTCAATGGAGTTGCTGTTCTGGCTGTCTATAGTACTATAGTATATAGTAGTGTTCAAAATTCTTCAATCCACATACTCCAAGGTCATAATGGTCGTCCAATCCGCCCCTAAGGCTTGCTGAATCCCCACGACCGGAAGCAGTTGAGGAGCCGCTCCAAGCAACATCTCAGCTGGTCGCAGATCGGGCACCTGCGTCAGAGGTTCCAACATTGGACCTGGGGCAACAGCCCGTGGAAGCGGAAGCCGGCGGCCAGTCTGGCCAGGAGGAGTGGGTTGGGTGCCGATGAAAGGGTATAGGCGGTATGGGCTATGGGAATCTGATCCTCATAAGTTGGGATATAACATAGTTATATACACGCACTTAAGTCAGTGTCTTTTGATTGAACTGTCAAGTGCCTCGATTACATTCATTGATGAAAGAAGGTGTGAGACAGTGAAAGAGTGGGCTTTATTCTACATTTACGTGCACATTATGTTTGTGCCCGCCTTTGAAGATGGTCGCATGGATTGTCATAGAGCCTTCTTCATCTGATCCTGATGTGGATCGATTGCTGTTTCAGTCCACTCCTCCAGCTGTACTCCACTGACGCCAGTTACGGCCGTCTGGTCTGGAAAAGTGGGATAGCCCCGAAAGCCCATGATGAAGTATGGCAGTATGGTTAAATCATATGTTAAATCATATGTTAAATCATATGTTAAATCATAGTTATCTCATATACCCTCTGGTTATGACTAACAGTTCGCCATGGTTTGTCGATGGCCCTAATCGAAATAGATGGTTTACCTAGCTATAAAATGGTGCCAATTTTCCATGGCATCCATCGCCACCTCTCCAGGAGCCCGAACGCAAGTCCGCGTCGTCCGGACGGCCAGTGACCCTTTTTTGGTGAGCCATGAATAAATGGTGGGGAAATGATGGGTAAACACTAGTCCAATGTGGTAAACATGGTAAACCCTGGCCATGAATCTACCAAAGTTGGGTCATTTGGGGATGGTGACCATACATGTTCATTTTATTTTATAGAAGCCATAATGGTGATTTTGGGGGATGGTTAATGGCATTGGGCTTGCCACATTACTACCAGTAATTATATCAGTATGGTGGACAAAGATGGACAAAGATGGACAGTGAGGGTCAAAAAATCCACACGGCGTTGGTCTATTGCAGGACCGGGACACCAGGCGTAGCCTTTGAAAAATGATCATTGCTATCTCAATGTGTTCATCATGGACATTTGGTGATCTCTGTTCTCATTAAACCTGGACTCGATCTCAATTGAAATTTTTCTCGACTGCCTTGGATAGCGCCACAAGGGAGTTTCAGTGCGCCATCAGAAACCGCTTTTTGTTGGAGGTTTGACTCCCCCCGAGACGCTTGCAACAAGAATCCTGGGAAGGTGCGCAGGGGCTTCACGGATATTAAAAGGCTTTTTGGAAGTGAAGTTAATTAGCATCTGGTAAACGTTTACAAGAAACTATGGAAAGTCCCCATGCTTAATAGGTAGATCAACTATTTCTATGTCAATGTTCAATAGCTATTTTGACATAAGCAGATGGTATCCACCCAAGCATTCCATGCTGGTCCGTGGGATTGACAATGTCATGGCTCGCTTTTTTTGGTGCCAGGATGTGCCAGGCAAGATGTAGGTAGTAGCATCGATCCGCTACACTATAATATACAATAACATATCCCATATGCTCCATGTATGGTATATTTACCTACATTTGGGTGATTTTTAAGGAGCATATGGGTATTATACTGATTGGTGGTTTGGAACATGTTTTATTTTCCCCAATAGTTGGGATGATGATCCAATCTGACTCATATTTTTCAATGGGGTAGGTATACCACCAACCAGTATATATAATGTGGGTAAAACAATGCCATAAACCACCTATGACTGGGAATGGTTTATATATGCCACCTATAAAAATGGTGATGGCTGGGGAATGGTTTATTGCTGTTTTACCCACATTAGAGTTACACTACGATGTTTAATCCTATCTACGTATATGTATAGATATATATATATATATATATACACTAGACATGTATAAACCATATAGTCGTATTTTGAAAAGAGAATACTTACATGACACATTTACAAATATTTGCACATCCCCTTGATGATCATATCTGTTAAAAATCATACATTAACAGATCAGTGGGAATTTCAGGAGCCTAAAATAGCCCTTACATAAAAACACCATCATATGGGGATATATGGTAGGTATATACTTTTTGTTTGTTTGGGGTTTCTGAAATGGCCATTGAACAGATACAGTAGTCCCTTGAGTTCTGAGTCCTGGGTCATCCCATCATCCCCAGGCGACCGAGTTAATGGATCGGATTGCCCAACTAGAGGCGCAGGTCAGCGACCGTCGGGGCTCCCGAGGATCTCCATGGCGCCATGGCGCTGGAGCCAAGGAGAGTGCACCAAAGAAATAATTGGGGGCTATGCCAAGTGGGATGGGTAGAGACTAGCTCTTTAGTTGATTTTTTCTGATTTTTCTTGTGTTCTTGGGTATTTGAAGCTATTTCATGCTATTTCTGCATGTTGGGGATAGTGAAACAGCAGTTTTTGGTAATTGAATGGTGGTGGAGACTTCCTGAAGCTGACCGGATGCAAAACACCACCCCTCGATCCCTCGAACATTTGGCCGGTGCCAACGGCAATGGTTCCCTTCCATGGTGACTGAGGTGCCACCCTCCTGGCGTGTCGGCCTCAGCGGTCACAGGTCTGGGGTTTTCAAATCCCTCCAGAACTGTTCAACACTTGGCTTTGAAAGATGGGTTTTCCCTGTGTTTTCCCATGTTTTTTCGTGTTCGACCCTGGATGAAGAAACTGTCACCACCACGGCTTGCCAGGCGACTGAATCGCCAGCAAGCGCAATTGGATCGCCTGGAGGCGACCCGAAGTATCCGCAGCTTTGTTGCTGAAGTCCAGAAAAATCTTAAGGTTGGCTGTTGTTGAATCCGGACTCCATCGGACTCCTGACTTTTGCAATACATGTTTCTGGAAAAATATGTGGCGACCTCACTGCGACGCCACTGCGATGCTGGGGATTGGGTTTGTCCCCAAAATGGTCGAACATTTCAGGTGAGTGAATTGCTGTTGATTTGTTGATAATAGATTTACCAATTATAGCTCTCACCAATTGTTAATCCGTACTAGTATGTAATGATTGGTGAAAGCTATACGTACTATATGCATCATGTTTGGAAGAAAACGATTGGTGAGAGCTCTAATTGATTAAGTTTTGGGGATGCACGTACCTGATGTGTTTACACTATATTCAACAACATGCATCCTCCATATGACCATTACCCGGCGTTGATGGTTTTGTAGCCTTAGAGAATACCCATAAACCACTCTAAATTCTCATAAACATCCCCTAAATCCCTGTAAAGTCTCAGTGTTTCTTATTTAAAGCCCACACCGAATCCCCATAAACCACCATAGACCGATAGATTCTTATGATCTATATTCATTAATACATATATATATACACATAAAATCATAAATCCCTACATGTTTTTCACATTTTCATACATGTCTGGTTGGTGGTTTGTAACATTCGGATTATTTTTCCATTCAGTTGGGAAGTTCATCATCCCAACTGACGAAGTCCATCATTTTTCAGAGGGGTTAGCAGCAACCACCAACCAGATCATCATTAACCATCATTAACCATATAATAATCATTAATATTAACTATTTTTAACAGAATATTAATGGCCATTATTAACCATTATTAATTATATTATATTAACAGATTTCTTTTCTTGCTTAAGATCCCCATCGTCCTGGTTTTTAAAACCAGGCGCTGGCTGAAGAGAACGCATCTCTTCGCACGCAGCTGCGGCGACGTGGTGCGGCCAAGGTGGCCCAAAAATAGATGGAAAGTGATCAAGGATCATGGACAAATATTGGAAAATGGTATAGAAAACCGATAGAAAAATGAACAACAATGACGCAAAGTGATGGAAAATGTAGAAGATGCAAGAAGATAAAAGCATGATGGAAACGTGACCATTTCCTAGAGGAAACTCCTCTTCCAAAGCCATTTTTGGGTTGCTTTCCAGATGTTGAAGCGTTTGAGTTTGAAATTAAATCCTCCTCTGATTGGTGGTTTGGAGCATTCGGATTATTTTTCCATTCAGTTGGGAATTTCATGATCCCAACTGACTTGAAGTCCATCATTTTTCAGAGGGGTTAGCAGCAACCACCAACCAGTCATTGTAGACCAAGCTTTGGAGGTTTGGGGAACTGTACCCACAGTAACCACCGAGTGGATCCTGCCGATTCCTCAACGATCACCCTGCCGGCAGGGGGATACGCCTCCAATGAGCGCGAGGGGAGAACTGAGTCGTGAACGAGGCTCTCCACTGATCCTATTTTCAGTCATATCCAAATTAGAATTTCTATATATTATAGACTATATAATTATAAAATTCAGTACATATAAAAATTACATTATATATATATATATATGTGCGTGCTATAGCCAAAGCTGGGGAGCAAGTGACCTCCCGTGTCTGTGCTCACAAACGTGGGCATTGCATTTGCCCTGATGTGTAAGTAGACCTTTTTTGTGTGATGTCGGGAGTGTGAGACAATCTTTAGATTCCATATGAAAAAATATGAGAAAGACTATATAGAAATCTTTCGGCATAAGTCAGCACATGAACATCATGAACATGAAGATATATAAATCTATATTTTGACTGATATCCCATATTTTATGGGAATTATGTTCAATAAACATATGGATACCCCATATAAACATATCATCCCATGATAATTATTCACTGGTTGGTGGTGACTGGAACATGAATGGATTATGGCTTTCCATTCAGTAATGTCAGAATCCCAACTGACTTTAACTAAGTCACATTTTTCAGAGGGGTTAGCAGCAACCACCAACCAGATCATCATTAACCATCATTAACCATATAATAACCATTAATAATAATATTAACCATTATTAACCATCATGAACCAACCAGTTCACCAAGACCCCTATCATCCCATAGAGACATTTCTGTTGAACAGCGCGTGAGGTGCTGTTGAGACACCCACCATGGCACGGCGTTTCCGCACAGCACCTGGGGAGGCGGTGATTTGATGGATGGATGTGGGAATGATGTTGGAACCCAGTCCCTTGCAGAGGTGAAATGAAAAAAATATTCTATGATGTTACATGCCCAGACTGGATGATTTTTATGATGTTACATGAAGCATGTGGGTTTTTTGTGATCCAAAAGCTCGCCAGCAGCTAGCTACTGGAACCTCCTGAATCATGTTCGGCATCAATCATCGATGTGATGCACCAGATCTGATTCAATGAACTGTTTCAACCGGCCGCTACTAATTTGCCGCCGGTATTTTTGGGGAAGCTGCGCTTGGATGAGGATCAACTCCATTGATATGGTTCTATTGACCTGGTCACTTGATGCCAAAATTTGGGAAGTGTGCTGTGTTTCCCCGGGAGGAAAACCCCTCAAACAACTCCTGGCACCCAATAAATCCCAATCAACTATCCCCCAAATCATCAAATGGCTGGGATTCAAACCGTCCCCAGTCATGGTAGGTTTATGGCAGGGTGAATCCCACATGAATCCCAACGTTGCAACCGTGGAGGTGCAAACGCATGCTGATGCTCCTGTGGTACGGAGCCCCGAGCAAATCCGGGAAGGGGAAGTTCCCAGCAGTGTTTGGCCTTGGTGGGTCACCCTCCAGTTTGAACATGGCTGGCTGAAAATAGTCCCATAGTTAACAAAAATTGGGGTTTGTAAGGCTGGAAAATCATCAAACTAAATGAAGAAATTTCATGGAATTTCCAGTGTTCATAACACCGGACGGTCTCACTCACAAATCACAGACTCCAAGAAGAGCCCTCTTAGTGCTTCCACTGAAAACAATGCCCCAGGATGCGACAGCCGTCACCTGGCAAGAGAATCATGTTTGATAGTTAGCCAACCAGATAGCTCTCAAGTTTTTTTTTGTGTGAGCCACTGCCCCAGGTTTGCATGTCGTTACTGTCATATTGGCTGGACAAGGATTGCTGCTAGTGGCCATGGAACGCCAAAGGATGCGCCTCGAAAAACCTTCGTCCTTCCACTCTGGGGGAAGTGCACTGGATTGTGTCCCACATTCCAAGCAGGAAAGGTGCAAGACTCACTCTGCATGGTGATTTACCTTTGATATTTCAAAAAACATTGCAAGAGCAAAACATTGTGGGGGAAGCTCCAATCCTCTCATGGACGTATGTCCCAACAAATCTCCATGCTGCCTGGTGCTATCTCCAAGGAATCCCAGTCTCTGACGGAGAGCACGCGCTCAAAGGTGTAGCTAAGACAGCAGGTGTAAGTGAAGATATGTTCCACAATCTAAAAAATCTCTCATTAGGCCTAGGACCTTGACGTTTGGGATGACTTCAACCAGAATCTGCAAAGAGTCACCCTGATTTGGCAGTCCTTTCAACCAGAGGCTGCAAGAAGTGACGTTGCCAAGTAGCCTTCGGAGTTTGACATTTGGCAGTCGTTTCAACCAGAATCTGAATCTGCAAGAAGTAACCCGGCCAAGCAGTCTTCAGAGCTTGACACTTGGCAACTTTGTTCAACAGAGGCTGCAAGAATTGATGCTGCCGAGTGCTCTCCAGAGCTTGACATTTGGGCACGACTTCAACCAGAATCTGCAAGAAGTGACGTTGCCAAGCAGTCTGCAGAGCTTGAGATTTGGCGATGGTTTGAACCAAAGCCTGGCAGGAGTTTTGCTGCCAAGCAATCTCCAGAGCTTGACATTTGGGTGCGGCTTTCACCAGAATCTGCAAGGGGTGACCCTGCCAAGCATTCTTCGGAGCTCGACATTTGGCGATTTGTTCAATGTCAGGCTGCAAGAAGCGACACTGCCACGCACTCTCGAGAGCTTGACATGTCACGGTTGCGAAGTTTCCGTGACAACTTAGAAGCAGCGATGCTACCAATTACTCTGGACAGCAGTTTCTATGGGTTCGTATTTGTGACCAGGTTGTGATAGGCGTTGACCAAGAGAAAGAGACACAAAAAGAGATGCTCAGCAAGTTTGGGCCACTGTTCTTGGTTTGGATTCCCATGTTCCATGTTGACAATGCCGGTTGTACTGGGTCAAAGTGGTAACTTATGCCGCGGTCATCTTCTTGTGCCGCAAACGGTGTGCCGTTGGGAAGTCCATGATATACATATCATTCTTGCTGCATGAATCAATTGTTTGTGGCATTGATTTTTCTGACACTTTACAGGGTCACACATGTTTTTGAGACATATTCTTCTTGAGATAGGAACTCATGGGGATGGCTTCTCAATAGCTTGACTCGCACAGAAGAGAGAACAGTAGAAGAGAAGAGTAGAGTAGAAGAGACTATATACAGAAGAGTAGAGAAGAGAATGGAATTGAAGAGTAGAAGTGATTAGAGAGGCCTAGAGCAGAGAAGGGAAGACTAGAAAAGATCCCTGCTGCCTTGCCCTGCTGCCTTGCCTTGCAAAATCCAGATCTCGTACAGATCTCGTAAAGACCTCGTAAGGATCTCGTAAAAATAACGCAATGATAATGACATGTAGAACTCCTGGTCTTCTAGAGGTCAAGTTGATGGTGTGCCATGCGGTTTACAACGCTTTGTGTCAGGTTTAAGACAGATAAACGGTACAAAGCGTTGCAGTCCGCATAGGAACTTCACGAAAACAATGTGCACACACACATGGTTCGGCAAAGTGATCGGCTGCAGAAAAGAAAACTGTTACCTGAGTACTTGGATGTACTCGGTGTGCCAATGGGAAAAACCATCATGTCCATTCTTAGAGATTAAATATGTTGTTCCGACAATGGGAATTACATCCGAGAACTTGGGTTGATAGAAAACATCTTGTAGGTGTGCCATGCGTTCCTTGACATTTGGGGTGAGGTCAAAGAATTCACGAACTGATGTAAAATGTCCGTGAGGGCCGGTGTGCCATGGTGATTTGCACATGGCGTAAGTTCTTGGGGTCGTGGGGTAAGCGGTGTGCCATGCGGTGGGGTAAGTTCATAGATTTTGGGGCAAGTTACCCCCCGGACTCGTACCAAGCCTGATTCCTTGATTGTCAAAGCAAAGCCTATACCTATAGCCTATCCGTATTGTTGGTTAAAGCTGTCGGCCTGTGTCCGGTGGGCCGAAAGCAACCAGATAATGTGACAGTCTTTCGTGAGGCAGGATGAATAGGATGATCCCAATTTGCCATCATCACATTTGAGGAATTTCGTGCTAGAGATGGCACACTCTCGGCATGGAATATGAACAGGTCCACATTTCTCACTCCAGGAACAGCCAGGCCAAGTATTGACATAGTGCTACTACCGTAGATGGACGAAATATTCAACCCCCTTCTATCCAGTACAACCCCCTCGCCCCCAAATTTCAATGCTCATGTAACCTGAAGTGCATTGGCCCCAATGGACGAAAGAAATCAAACCCCTAACATCACTTTTGGTAACGCGCGCGCTGAAACATTGATTTGGGGGTGTGGTGGTTCAACGTAGTGCGTGCTGGGTTTGATTTTTTTTGTCCATCTACTGTGATGGCTCCAAAGTGTATCCAACTTAAATGGCTATCGTTTGGAGAAAATGATGAACCATGATAAACTGTAATTTTACTGATATTCCATATTTTATGGGAATTATTTTCAATAAACATATGGATACCCCATATAAACATATCATCCCATGATGATAATTCACTGCTTGGTGGTTTTTGGAACACGAATTTTATGACTTTCCATTCAGTTGGGAATGTCATCTTCCCAACTGACTTTCATATTTTTCAGAGGGGTTAGCAGCAACCACCAACCAGTAAAGCATCAAATTTAGAGGTCCCCCACTTTCAGAGAAACCCATGTCAAATCGGTTGAATGATGGGATTGTTTTGTCTAGACGATACTTGTGGCTTCGGTTGACCAACCAAATCAGGAGAGGAGTGCGGATTCATGCGACCTCTCAACTCCATGATTTTCTAAAACAATATCAAGGAATATATGTTGGTTCCAGTTGGTTGGTATGCAGTTGTCATACCAACCATAAAAGCATCTTCAAGCTACCTTTTCAGCTCATGCAAAGTAGAAAATGCCAGATACCGTTCGAGGCGTTACTGGCTTGATTTTGCTGTGAATGGTGAAATCTAGAACGCCTAGGTACAACAAATGTACATTATTTTGAATGTTATTGGTATCTTGCTAAGTATAATTATCAGCATGCTAATAGCCAGCTAAAGATTCGCGTCTTTTTGCAGGCTATCAGGCAGTCTCTTCAAATGACACCCAGCCACAAAATCAGGGTTTCGTAATGGATTCATTTTGCACTGCCCGTCTTTGGGGATATGAAAAATATTGAAAAATCCTAGGGGGATGGGAAGAAGAGATGGATTTCTATCCATTTATCCATTTCTACTTGGTAAACTTGGTAGATCCACCATGACAATTCCCATTGCTGGTTACCCTCTGGTAAACTGTTACATAACTATGGAAAATCACAATTTTTCATGGGAAAAACCACTAATTATAAATGGCAATTCTCAATAGCTCTGTAACAAATTACCAGAGGGTAAATCACCATGGTTCCACTAAATCACCACGACGACCTCAGGTGCTCACTGCACGGTCTCCCAGACCCGAGGCCGGGCCGGAACTGTGCGCTGGGGTCATTGGCTGGTTTCCCAATTTCTTGGACATGGATCAATATAGGGAACACTAATAAAGATATACATGACTGGTTGGTGGTTTGGAACATTTTTTATTTTTCCATATATTGGGAATAATAATCCCAACTGACTTTCATATTTTTCAGAGGGGTTGAAACCACCAACCAGATGATATACCATATAAATGGATGTTATATGATGTTTGGCAATACAGATTAACTACATATTTGTTTTTTTGATATGGTATTTCGCTTAAAATGAAAGCATTTTTCAAAAATGAGAACTCACCTTTAAAAGGGTGGACTAAGAATCAAAACTTCACCCTGGGCATGCTGGTTTTTGGGTTTTAAAGTTTGACCAAGCTGATAAGCTGGTGATGAGTGTCTAAGATGGTTTAATTTACCATCCCCACGATATGTGAGATTTAATTATATTATACAGTAACTATGTTATATATAATATATACATAATGTAGAATATATATATATATATCATTGTGAGTTGGTAGATCTTTCTAGTCTTGGCACAAGCACCGAAGCATCTGCCAGTGTGATCACCTCCCGTTTTTCCAGGGCAAAGTTGCCATGGTAGAGAAAACCTTGGCAGTGCCTCGGCAGTTTCCAAACTCACCCCAGGCTTTGTGTGAAAATGTGTGAAAACATGGGGAAAACACCCCAGATGGATCCGAATTGCTATGCAAACGGCTATTTTGAAAAGTGGAAAAGTTGAAAAGACTAAGCAGTCCGCGCGTGATACGGAAAAGTACGAATCACCAGTGGATGAATATTGGGGTACTTCATGTTCACACAAATCCACACTGTTCTATCCACACTTTATACCCATTGTTGCTGCCGAGATAGTCAAATAGCAATTTCAAGTCGGCTCAGCCGGTTGTGTTTCTATCCTAGGAGCCGGCACAAGCATCAAAAGTAGAGATGTCTGTGTGGACGGTGCAGGCTTTTGTGATTTTCAATCCTTCAAGATGGTTTCAACAACTTTCAACTTTCCAAACATACATTTCCCCGTGGCCCTGTCGTTGTGCCCTGTCGTTGACAAGGTGCTTGGCCCTTTTTGTGTCACATCCTTTCGACCTTTTTGTGGAAGATGTTGATCCCACAATCTGCGGACGTCGCACCAAGGAATTAGAAAAGGCATTGGGATTACAGGGCCAGCCTGGCAGCAAGCAGATCATCCTAGACCCTGGGCATTCGGTGATCCCCGGAACCATTTTCCGTTGACCGAAAGTCTTGGGTTCATCCGCGGGCAGCCACTGAAATGACCTTTCTACAGGACGAAGATCCACAGAAAATTACTCTCTAGGGAACAAACGTATCCACTTTTTTTGTGGATTTTTTTTTTTGGATACGTTAGCTGCTGTGAACATAGGCTATGATAAATACCCTATACTTGAGACATGTTAGTTGAAAATCCAGAATGGACATGTTAGTGGAAAAGTTGTCCCCCCCCTCTGGGGGTTCCCGGGAAACTGCCAGAAGACTACCGCCCCGGACGCCCCAGCATCCTTATTTCCAGACCCCAATAGGGCTCAAATCAAAGACTGCATTGATAACAAACCGGTGGAGGAAAAAAGGGCCCCAACTCCTTCCGGAAGAGCGCATCATAGATGATGCTCGTGGGTGGACAGGAAGATTGGGGGTGCATTCCAAAAACCAGTTGCATTTAGTAAGGGTTGGATGACTAGCCACGGAAAGCGCCCACCTAACGTGTCCGTGTTGTTCAGAGGATGTGGTTTTGAGATATGTGAATGGTTATTGGCTGAATCTATCCCCCAAAAATAGCTAACATATCCCAGATCAGGGTCGAAATCCAAGGGCCCCAATTGCAGGAACTGAGACATGTTAGCTGTTTTTGGGTCAATGTGTAAAAAAAAAGTTGCAATGCATTCCCCAGGAAAACGCCGATATAAAGTGGACATGTTAGTTGATACCTGAAACGGTAGCCTGAGACACGTTTGTTCCCGGGAGTGTACCCGCCATGGCATGGTTCGTTGCTGGGTGCACACCTTGCTTGTCGTTTCAGCGTGTTTTAGCTATTGTCCCAATGGCCTACTGGTTGTGTTGTTGCGTCATTCACACAGCCACATATATTTATTGTTGTTTATTTGTATTGCATTGATTTGCCCAGTTCATCTGGAGGTTTGAATCAAACACATTTTTCCGGGGTACTGGAACTCGCAACTTAGCCAAGGAAACTTGATGCCTGAAGCCAGTTGCAATGACAGCAATGGTCATGTCATTGAGTGCAAAAGATGCTGCTATATCTTGCCGAGGGGGGCTGTTGCAAGTCGCTTTTCTTTGATCCTAAAAGTTGGCAGTTCACAGAGCGCCAGTGTCATCATATCCAACACTTTGCTGAAGTTTTTCCACGTTTCATCTTGATCATCTTGGGTCTGGTGTGGCACAACTTAGATTGAACAGGGAGAATTCTCATCACAAATACTGATGGCCCAAGTTCAAACCATCTCCGAGTGTCACTCGGATGTGTCGTTCTTACTGGATGGACCCGTTGCAAGTGACACTTAAGTGGTCGCTGAAAAATCCAATGAAATGGCCGTAGCCGTGGAAAGTGGTTCAACTCAAAGCTCCCGACTATTCTGAACCCTGCTTAAACTTAGTGAACTGGTTGCTACTCAAAAAAGACTCCATGACTGTGCAGCAAAATTCATCAAAATTCAACAATGTCCATCTGATGCCCTCCTGCAGCTTTCAGCTCAGAGTTGGGTGTGGATGCGTGAAATGAATGTCTTAAGGATTCTTAAGGTAGTTTTCCCATTCTTTGAATCGCTCATTCTTCATTCATCGGCATCCTTATCCATGGTTGACCCAGACTTACACTCTACTATGCAGCCATTGGCCTTTCGTGGCACACGACTTCCCAACGTTCACTTCACCAATTTGTCGTGAAGTTTCAACTTGTGCAGTTGCGACTTGAAAAGCAACTCCACCGTCATAGGAAGTTGTTTTCTGTTGGAAATTTGCTAGTCAGAGTGTCTTGGTGCCTCGCCCCAAGAAACAACATCACCCAATGATGGCTCAAACATACAAGATGCCAGCAGGACGGGACTGCTGCGCGCGCTTAAAAACCTCGGCGGTTTGATGTGGGTTAATGATCGCAACAAATATGATGAGGTCTGTATATTGGGGTATGCATATATATAGATGCATATTTATATATAATATGTATATGTAGTATATACTTGTATATATATATATGCGTATCTATGTATATATTATATATATACACTATACTATACGTTTATATTAGACTGTGCATATTTCTGAACTGGGACTGATAGAAACACATAAGAACCCACCTTCGCCAGGAACTATGGGAGTGGTGCCCCCCGCCCCTTCCACCCTGCTGCAGGTGATTTCGGAAATGGATCCGACCCCGGAAGTTTCACCCTGGGAACTTGAGAAAAAAAACATGGAAAACTTCATATATAGCTATGGAAAATCACCAGGTATATATATATATTATATAATTAATTATATATATATTTCTATTAGGTAAATCGCCTATAAAGGTGGAACATTCATGAAAATTCCATAGCTATGTGAAATTGTTTGAGGATGCGTTTAGGCCGTTTCGGGTCACAAAGTTTGATCACAACTTGACTTGGCCATTTTTGTTGGCACATGAAATCAGCTTTAACTCTCACAACGTTTAATTAAAAAAAAACTTGAGGGGGGAGTGTCTCGCATCTTCGGGCACACCCAAATGAAAGACATCCATGTTCTTCCTGGTTCAAGCTCATGTTTGTTCTAATGGTGACATCCCACTGAATAAGTTGACAATGGCCATGTCATACCCCAGTTCTGTTTGGTTTATATGGAGATGTCCAAAAATAAGGGATAATAGGGGTACCCCAAAATCATCCAATTTAGATTGGGATTTCCATTATAAACCATCAATTTGGGGGTATCCCCATTTATGGAAAGCAGCCTCATATAGGGGACGGATATTAGTCGTTTTACGAAAATACTATAGATATATACTATGTCCCATCTATTTACTGTGGATATATCCTTCTTGAATCAGCATTAACGATCATATATTCTATAGTAAATTCACGTGGTGATGACTTCTTCGAAATTTTCCTGTGACAAAAACAATACAGATTATATAGATACTATAGATATATGATATATATGTTACCCTCTGGTAAACTAACATAGCTATGGACAATCACCATTTTTTATGGGAAAATCCACTATAAATGGCCATTTTCAATAGCTATGTTAAATTACCAGAGGGTAATTTACCACCATGACACTATAGATATTTCCCATTGACGGCAACGGCTCCAGACGGCTCCAGACGGCTCCAGGCACGACCACAAGGCGGCTTGACGCAGCTCCTCACGGAGGCTGGCGATGCCATGGGAAAATGGCCATTTATGGTGGATTTTCCCATTAAAAAATTGCCATTTTCAATAGCTATGTTAGTTTACCAGAGGGTAGCTGATGCATGATGGTTAGTTAGTTGTGGCTGTACAATTTTGTCAAATATGTCAAATATGCTTCAGGAGGGATAGGACTATACTTAACGGGTTTGTAAAGCAGCTCATAACTCAGGGGCCACCTTGTAACATACATTGATATAACATGATACCATACCAAGATTATAATATGAGATATGTATATATGAATGACAATAATGAAGTCAAGATATAGTATTGCTATATAGTATATTATAGTTTTCAAGATGTATTAATTCAATATGATACAATGATTATATGATATTATAATGATATATTAGAGTCAAGTAAAATTAATATACCAAGATATGGATGTAAATACTATACCACTATTGTGTACTATATGAAGACGTGGTCAGTTTGTCACATTTTTCCGTTTTCCTAGGCCATGTCATTTGTGCGGCTGGTAGGTCGCACGTCAACGTGAAGAGGCAGCTCAGTTGCGCCTGAAAGTTATGCAGGCCGGGTTCAGCCGTTGACGCCAAGATGGGGGGTTCCATAAATGGGGGTACCCTCTGGTAAACGTTTACATAACTATGGAAAATCACCATTTTTAATGGGAAAAATCACTATAAATAGCCATTTTCAATAGCTATGTTAAATTACCAGAGGGTAATCCCAATCCAAATTGGATGATTTGGGGAGATGGAAACCTCCAGATCAGGGTTGCTCCAACCCACTGTAAGATGATAGCTACAAGACTACAAGGGTGATAAATCGGTCATGTTATCTCCTTATTTTCTTAGTTCACCACGCTTGTAAGTGGGAAGTTGAGAGCAACCCTGAAGATGGGTTAAATTTAAGATCCGCTGAAACCTGTAGAATGTGTTCCTTTTGAGTCGTTGACCATCAAAATCGGGGACCCGATGTTGGCCCATAACTAGAGGTAAATGGGTTTTCAACCTCAGTTGGCTTCTGAGGCAAAATTGCGGTTGTGATTTTCTGTGAAGAGATCATGGAAGGCCCCATAATCGTGGTACTCCCAAGAGCTCTGGGCCCATTGACCAACAGCTTTTGTTTCGTCCGGGATTCCATGGACCTGCCAATGAAGTGCTGAGTTCACAAACTGACAGAGTGACAGAATAATTCACCCCTGGACTTTTTGTGGTGGAAGGGGAAACCATGGGAAAGCAATGACAATTGAGAGAGACAGGGTATCAAACCCTCCTCAAGACCGGAGTGACGGTTGGCAGGCACCCCCAAGCATCCCAGAAAAGCCTGGAGTTCCAAAGCAGGACAGATGCCGCTGCAATGTCTAGATACCAGTGGCCGTTTTGGACGGCTTGGACCAGACGTGAGAGTCGGCAGCTCTCATGCTTCAAAGTGGGGATGCAGTTCAGGTGATCACACCCTTTCTAACCTCTGCATAATGGGCATACCACGAATTGTCAAGGTACTTGCAACACCTGCGACTTTGTGTTACCAGTCAATGGTGGTTGTTTACTTGATCCTTCTGCAAACAGGACGAGGCAATGTTAAACTGGCTACACACACAAAAGGCCCAGGGAGCGTCGCGGGGCTGGCCCACACAAGAGCAAGACATGACGGAAGATGAAGTATCAAGTATCTATAGAATCCAAAGTGTTACTAGTAAACAGTTTATGGCTTATGGCCGCTGCCTAAGTTGCAAATGGACTTGGTTCCCTCATTTACCCAAGCACATCAGCACATCCAAGCACATTATCATACATTATCCTAGATATCAGGCGGTTGGAACCCGCCACCTGCTTCAAGTCAGATGACGCTTTAGATGTTGAACCCATGCTTGCACATTCATAGCAGCTAAAAAGAACATCTGGTTGGTGGTTTCGAACATTTTTCCATATATTGGGAATAAAAATCCAAACTGGCTAATATTTTTCAGAGGGGTAGGTCAACCACCAATCAGTTCAATCAGTTCAATCAGTTCAATCCGTTCAATCCGTTCAATCCGTTCAATCCGTTCAATCAGTTAAATCAGTTCAATCAGTTCAATCAGTTCAATCAGTTCAATCCGTTCAATCCGTTCAATCCGTTCAATCCGTTCAATCAGTTCAATCAGTTCAATCAGTTCGATCAGTTCGATCAGTTCAATCCGTTCAATCCGTTCAATCAGTTCAATCAGTTCAATCCGTTGAATCCGTTCAATCCGTTCAATCCGTTCAATCCGTTCAATCCGTTCAATCAGTTCAATCAGTGCAATCAGTGCAATGCGTTCAATCAGTTCAATCCGTTCAATCCGTTCAATCCGTTCAATCCGTTCAATCCGTTCAATCCGTTCAATCAGTTCAATCCGTTCAATCCGTTCAATCCGTTCAATCCGTTCAATCCGTTCAATCAGTTCAATCCGTTCAATCCGTTCAATCCGTTCAATCAGTTCGATCAGTTCGATCGGTCGATCAGTTCGATCAGTTCGATCAGTTCGATCAGTTCAATCAGTTCAATCCGTTCAATCCGTTCAATCCGTTCAATCCGTTCAATCAGTTCAATCAGTTCGATCAGTTCGATCAGTTCGATCAGTTCAATCAGTTCAATCCGTTCAATCCGTTCAATCCGTTCAATCCGTTCAATCCGTTCAATCAGTTCAATCAGTGCAATCCGTTCAATCCTTTCAATCCGTTCAATCCGTTCAATCCGTTCAATCAGTTCAATCAGTGCAATCAGTGCAATCCTTTCAATCCGTTCAATCCGTTCAATCAGTTCAATCAGTTCAATCAGTGCAATCAGTGCAATCAGTGCAATCCGTTCAATCCGTTCAATCAGTTCAATCAGTGCAATCCGTTCAATC